CTTTCACAACGGTGACCTGGCCAACATAAATAAGTGGCTGCAAGAAATTCTTGTATCTTAAGATGGGAATTTTCTTGATTATAAATTAGATCTATTCTTACCAGCAGTCTAAAAAAAAAAAAACAATCAGTGGATTGCATTAAACTACTATCTTTGCACATAAGCAATATTTTTTTGTTTGTTTTTCCATGAAAATAAAAAAGGCCCTAATTACAGAATAAAAGTTAGATGTCAAAATAAAGACTTTTGCAAGGGTTGACATTTTTTTTCTTTAACTTTCGTACCATTTCCTCTGTTCTAGCAATAATTAGAACACATCCTCAGCAGTATTTGGCTGTAGACAAGCATATGTTAAAAGTTTAGTAATTAGAATGTGAAAAAATCAAATTATTTAAAAAAAAAAAAACAGGAGTTGCTATAAATAAACAAAATTGTATTATTTTCTGAACAGATTGTCCAGATATTCTGACTTAAGGTGATGCAAAACCGATTTTTTCTGTTGAAGGATTTGGATGATTCCTCTGTATCCAGTGAGTCCGTTGACATTCCCTCCACGTACATCACCACAGGTCTCCAGCACCACCTCACCTCACCCCACACCTCCACCTCCCTCCCTCCCTCTTTCTCCCTCTCTCCCCCGCTGGCAGCCCTTGATTACTCTTGTCTCCTGGGGGAAGGTTTAAACTCCTCAGAGATAGTAATATCAAGGGCACTACTGGCTAGTCACTTCAGATCAGGGCGGGGGGAGGAAATGGCGACGGACATAAAGCTAAATATATAATTCCTCCCATGCTGGTAATCACGATGTCCAGACGATTTGAAATGACAGTTTAACCACTTTAGACTGAGGAACGCTTTGTTCAGATTGGAGAAGCGGGGAGGTGTGCGCGAGTGTGTGTGTGTGTGTGTGTGTGTTGGAACGTCTGGTTGGTCCCTGCGATGATCGGGGAGCCTCCTCGTGGGTGTAGAGGCTATCCAAAGGGGCCCGTGTGGTCCTCTCTAAATGCATTGTGGGGGGATGGGGTGGTGGGGAGGCGCACGTTCCATTGAGCTAAAATGGCTCGCAGACCAGACAGGAGCAATTCTGTGAATGACTGACGTGCCAACAGCTCCGGAAGGAAACACTCTCGCTGCCCGGTATTAGCTTACCTGATTATTAGGATATCCAGCTTCCTCCTAAAATGGCCGACCATTTCCCCGTTAGAGGCGGTGAGAGAGGCGCCCACCTGGATTAGGCCCGAACATGGTCCCACATTACACCAGGCACATCCAGGCCTCACGCCGCACGGCTCAACAATTACATCTATAAATATTAATAGGCTAATCTGCACATATTCTTTCCCTCTGAGCCCGTTACTACATCCCCGAAAGGGTCAGAGATACTCTTATGAACATCAAATCCATTTAAATTTTAAGTTCAATTTGCATATGCAGAGATTTCTGCTCCAAACAGCCTCTCTCAATATGTCTTTCTTTTTTTTTTTTTCCCCTCCCCTCCCCATCATCACATCGCAAGAGGAGAGTGCATTTTGTATTCACGCGCTGATTGGATCCTTGATGAGATCTTCAGGGTGGCTTCTCACACTCTGATGCTCTTCAGACTCCAGAGGTGATGAGAAGCAAGCGAGAGGGAGAGAGAGAGAGAGAGAGAGAAGGAGGGGATGAGAGGTGTGTATGTGGGATCAGTCCAATTCTGCCGACACTGAAGTGGTCAGCTCTGTCGTCGCCCGACTCCGCGGCCTCCTCGGCGGTTCAGCTGCTGCAGGGACGCGAGGCTCAGGGTGTAATCAGGCAGCACAAAAGGGAAGAGAGGAGGCAGAGAGGCAGCATATATATAGATATAAATATATATATACTCCTCTTCTTTCACACATACAGTGGCTTTACAATAGGCCTTTTTGGCAAACTTGTATTAGACCATTGTCACAAGCTTCTCTTAAAAAGATATGAATAATGCAGTACGGAAATCTGCATGGAGAGTGGAGATACAGGACGGAATAAAGAAAGAGAGAATGGATGAAGAGGAGCTCGAGAGACATTGATTCCAGTACGAGTACAGTTGTGTGTACACCAAAGTATTTCAGATGCATTTTTCAGTCGTGCATAATGGCCGGCATTTTCCTGCCACTATACGCTCCTCAGTGAAACCCAGAAGTGTTTTTTTTTTTTTTTCTTGCTTCAGGTCTATTTTCATGTGTTCTCCGAGTGCAACTACAGTAATTGTGTATTCGGCTGCGAGTGCTGCCAAATGTGGGTGACCTGCAGCTCAATACTGAACCTGAACACTTCCTGTGCAGACGCAGACGGACGACCGAAGCTGCTGCATCGCCTCCCGTGTGAACGCTGTGCGAGCTGAGCAGATTCAAAGACGCTGCAGCTGTATTAAAGACAAAATTTTAATTAGAAACACTACAATGCCCTTTTGCTTCATTTAACACACTCTTTGGTTTTGCTTCGGCCTCGGCAGCTTTCCGTAGGTTAGCTCGGGTTGAAGAATTACCTTAAATATTAGCGAAATCGCAAGAGTTGCAATTTTTGGATGGTTAAAGTGAGTCACAACATACCGCTCGGCATGAAACGAAGCATTGTGATGCTACAGAGAAGCCGTGGCCTTTAAATCATATCCTGCAGACCGAAGCGATCGTGCTGGAGTAAACCGCAGCGAAAAAGAAAAATCACTTTATCATTTTTTATATATTTTATTTTGTGTGGAAAAGAAACGCAAAAATGACTATTGACTCACAGCGCAATCATGTGTTTGTTGTTTTTGGCACATCACTCAACCCTCATGTCAGAAAACTTGACTAATTTTGACTCTTCTTGACCTTTAAGCATTTATAAATGTCACCTTTTCGATGTGCAAAGCTTCACTTTAACCCTTTGGGATTAATGGAGTTAAATTAGTTGTTTTTCAGTGTCCTAAAAGTCTGCTTTTAATAGTAATATAATTTCCATTGCGCACTATTTAAGTAAAAACTGCTTCAAAAACAGCCCGTTGTGAGTCACGGCCGCAGAAGTGTGATTCTGGTTATCTTCCGCTCAGTGCACCAGCAGCGGATAAAAGCCTAGACTATCAAATCAAACGTTTACTGAACTAATTTAGACTTGTATATTTTTGTGAGGAATCGCCAAAGGACACACCAGAACTTCCACAAAGACAAACCTCTACTGGTTTCTCGCTCGTACACAAACGCGGCCTCACACGCATACGCACACATGTACGTCAAAAGGCGGCGCTAGCAGTAGTAAACATTTGAAAGGAACAGGGGTAATTCACTTGATAAATGTCAACCAAAATGAAGCTATCAGCTGAAAGCAATTTCCTCGTGCTCGCCTGTGTTCTGCGCCAGGGACTTGGGAGATTTTCACCCCTCCATCGATCATGAAGCCTCTGTTTTAGGCCAAGGTACACAATGCCCTCAAATTGCTGACATATGGACCTAGAATCACCACAAAAACCTGCCATTTCCACCCCACCCTCCTCTGTCCCAACTCAGCCACTCCTCTGCTAAACTCTTGTTTATCCAATGACTCTGGTCTGTTTAGGCCATTAAAGCGAAGCCATCGAGGGAGACGGAGCAGCGGGGCGAGCGTACTAAAGTCACAAGCGACCAGCTAGCGCCCGAGATGGCCAAAAAAAAAAAAAAAAAACCCACCATGAAATCTGATTTGTCACCATTCCTCATTTAATTTTCGTGAAGTCGGGAGGCATTTTGACAAAGACATAATGAGTAGTTTGCAACGTTGCAGCATTGTAATCATCAAATGACTGCGTGGCCATAACACCAAGTGTGTGGGCAAAGTTAAAATAAAGCCTGTCTGACTTGTGGGCTGCATGCGACCAGCAGTAGCAGTAATCATGATAAAGATGATGACACTGACCACATAATGGCACGGAGAGCCTCGAGCTGGTGTAAACAGCAGCGAGATGAAAGCGGCGTCATGTGCGTGTCGCTGGGCAGGTTTCTCGTTCTTTCTTGCCTTCGACTCAACAGCTACGAGTCCTGATTGTGGCTTTTAAAAGTGCGGCTATTTAAAGACAAAGCATGCCAAGCGAGCGACATTAAAAGCCTCTTTTCCTAATGGACAACCGTGGTGCCAGCAGCCGGGGCCTGGAGGTCTGCGCACAGGAAAAGTCCATTATCACTCTGACTAATGGAGGAGGGGGGGGCGACTTCAAACCAAAAGCGGAGAAAAAGAAAAGAAAACAAGAAGAGAACAAGATGACGCACGCGGTACAAAGCAGTGTTTCTTTAATGGAGTCCATCAATAATGTTACTTTCCTGACTTTACTGTGTTTAAAAGAGAGTAGCCGTATTATCAATCCTCCACATGGACAGAAATTAAAGGTCTTTTTTTTCGTTCCCCCCACTCAAGTGACTTTTTAACAGACTTGGAATCAATGTGAAACAAATGTTTGGCAACACGCTAACGGTATCTGTTGGGTCGACGTCTCTGGAACAAACCCTCTCTCTCGCTCTTGCCACCAAGAAAAACCCGCAGCCAGTTTACATTCGGACGGGTGCGCTTGCTTTATATAAACAGACAGCCCCTGTGGCAAGAGGTTTGATTAGGAGGAGGCCCGCAAATCCCATTAAAAGTCCATTCGTCCCTTGCTCGGTGTTTGTTTGAAGACAGGAAGAGTAACAAGGGAGGAGGGAGGTGACGGGCAGTCTGTCGTTGTTGTTTCCGTGCCAATTTCTGTTTATGCACTTACGCAGCTAAACACAGATATCACACAGCAGCGAAATGAAGATCTTTGCCAACGATGTGGGCAGGAACAAAGGCTCGGCTTCTGCCCAGAGAACCCAAAAATATGCTACAGGACCAAGATGTGTTTCGCTGTGTGATTCAAAAAGCAGCTCCCCGACATGATCCAGTCACTGTCTATTATCAACATGTTAAAAAGCAGGCCCGTTCCTGCTGTTGTATGTGCGTGTGTCCTATAACCAGCGATGAAGTATCAGATATAAAACCTGCATGTTTCTTCTAATCAGTACCGTCAGCCTAACAGCTCCTTGGTCTTGGCTGCAAGCTGTTTGTCGATGTCCACTGCCATGTCGTCCGACATCTGCTGTATCTATGAAGGCAGAGAGAAAAGAAAGACACGAGTATTTAAAAACGCATTTTGGCCACGCTTGGATTGAATAATGTAGCTGCTGGAAAGTGGCAGAATGTAACTAAACTGAAGGTGGTTGTAGGAGAGCTTCCCTTCATGATGCAGACTATATTATAAGCTTGCATATTGTTTACAACAGTTTCTTTCATCTCCACCTTCCTTTAACGGTTGAAAACCCACCAGTGGTTGTTATAAAGTTGGAGGTGTGAAGTAAAAGCTGTTTGGATTTAAAGACGTTTATTTCTGCCATTTAACAAAGCTCCCTCCATAACTTGATACCTTCTTAGCTTTTTAAGCCAGAAGGAATTTTACTGATGTGCAACGCTCCAAATGAGGAACCAATAGCCATCTTGCTCAAACTTTATAAAGTACAATCCCGCCCTCTAACTGCTGCTGCTGCTTCCAGGTGAGTCATTCAGAATGAGCAGCCGCCTCACAGTCCACCAAGTTAATTTACTTTCTGCTTCTGACAACTTTGTTTCGGCCATAATGAAAACCACACCAGATGTTCTGTCGCAAGAGTGAACACAAGAGTCTTCATTCACTCCCAGCATCCGAGAAATTGAAGACCCAGTCGACTATTTTTTTTATTATTGATGGCGACACAACAATAGCAAAATCCTTAAAGTTAGCACATTGTGTGACTAACGTGGCAAATATTACCACTGGCTTTGATCATGAAACAACAGAGCTTTGTGGGATTTATAAAGCTGGGGGACATTAAGAGATGGTGGAAACTTTAAGGACTGAGTTATTGTGTTTTTATGCCACCTGTTAAGCACTCGGCCAGTGTTTAGGTACTTAGATATACTGCACTTTAATAAAGACAAATTCCCGATAAAGTTGTTCCTAATTACATATTTATCTCTTTCTGTTGCTGGACAACGAACAAGTATTAAATCTCAAGCTCATTAAGACTACATGTTAAGCAGCAGTTACCTTACAGCCATTTCCAAGCTTCCCCTCTGCAATGGCAAACTACTGATTTTAGAGCAGTGATGCTGTCTGACGAACCACCGTTAAAAACAAGTGAAAAGTGCAGTGAAAGCGACAAGCGACATGACTGCTCAGAGAGAAAGTCAGGATTGACATAAAGTCTTGGTTGCCCACACTTATTCACATCTCCATCGATCAACTGTGCTGTCAATAACAGATGCAGAGAGAGTCTTCTTCCTGAAGGCAGCAACTCAGCTGTATTTAAGGCTACAGACGCTAAATCCAAGGGTTTTATAGTCACGGTGAAATGAACCATTGTTCCATCATTCTGAGGACATTTAAGACTGCTAAACTTGCTAAAAAAAAAAGGGGGCACAATGTGGGACCTTCAAACCCTTTCTCAGTCTACCGATTAAGAATCTTAATGAAGCTCACTGATTGGTTCTCTGCTTCATGTGTCCCGTACCTGTTTTTCTACGAGTCGTACTGTGTCCTCCGAGTGTCCTTCCTTTGCCCTTTTGGCCTGTGTGACAGCATTAGCGCGCACTTTCCTCAGCGAGTCCTTAGCCTTGTTGCTGAGCTGTTTGGCCAGCTTGGCGAGGTTCTCTCTGTGCTCCCGCGTCACTCTGCAGGGAAAGGAGGAAGTGTCAGAAAAGACGGCGAACCAAGCGGTAAAATAAAGGATTAAAAAAAAAGAAGAAATTACACCAAGCAAGGGTCCATACAAAAACTCACCTGTGTTCTTTTTATGTCTGCATTCACAAAAAACTAGCTTAGCTTAGCTAACTGATGCCTGTAGGTTTAAGTAACAGCTAGTAAGTAATAATTCCAATGTTTTGGTATGTACAGTAAGAAAATGTTTATGGAAAAGAACCAGGAAATGAGAGCATTTCAAAGAGAGACATCAAAAAGGTCACAACATTGTCAGAAAATACAAAAAAAAACAAAACACAAATCCCCAAAATTACACCTGAAACAGAAACACACAAATGTGCCGAAACAAAATAATGACAACCAGCCTAATCACTTGTGCAAATGGGGATGCTGAGTGCTCGTAAGCATGAAATCTAATCCTTTCTAGTTCTGACTCGCAGCAACCATCTAACACCAATCACTTCCCAAGGACTCAGACCAGAGCCGAAACATCCGTCATTCCAGCAACTTTGCATTCACTTTGCATTTGTTAATCACTCAGAAAGTCCTACTTCCCATTTCACTCTCCCTCTTTGTCCTTAATTGGCTTTTTTTCGTTGTTTTTGCCTCGGGGACTATTTGCAAACAATCCAAGTGCAGCGTCTATTTACTGCAAACAATACGGCCTAATTACCGATTCCAGGGCCAATCAAGGAGCGCCTTCTCTTTGGAAATGCAAATGGAGGCTTGGAGCGTGCCGAGACTGATTGCAGGGGGAAAAGCAGTCTGACTCTTGTGTCCCTCCTCTGCCAGACTAACACCTGCTGCTCCACGTGCACACGCATGATCGCACGCGCACATAAACACAGGGTGGCATTCATGCAGACTCACATGCACGTGTGTGTGTATATGTAAAAAAAAAAAAAAAAAAGTACTTTATACACACACGGAGCGGTTTAGTGAGTGACTGACGGATTGTTTTGCGTGTGGTTGTTTGATTTGGCCGAAGGAGAAAGAGAGCGAGCGAGAGAGGTCCGGCCAGAATGGAGAGAGAGAGAACGACTGACCAAACCCACACATCAACACACTGAGGGTCTCTATACATCTAGAAGGAGAATCAATAAACCTGTCAGTTACGGCAAAGAGCACGGAGACCAGCGGATTTATTAATGGGGTGAAACGCAAAACCGTGCCTGGGACTTCTTGTATGGTAATTCACATAATGGATGGATTCTTTTATTGATATTTTATTTGGTGATGTCTGAAAACAGTTTGCTTTGTCCGGACAACAGACGAAACATGAAAACAAACGAAACGTATGCAAAATTATACAAAACGACAAAAGCAAGCGATCGATCAAATCGGCCCAAAATCTCAGGTCGAGCAGAAGTTAAAATATGCGTTTGTACTCAATAAAAGCAAAACAGAGGAATGACAGAAGAAAAATAAAAGTGAAAGACAAAGACGGAAAAGAAGGAAAGTGCTAAACGTCTGAAAGCCTTTCTGGCCTCGGGCGTGTTTGTGTGCGAGCGTGTCAGACGGAGACTCACTTGGGAACGGGCACCTTGATGATCGTCCCGTCCGCCTCTGGGTTTAGGTTCATGCTGCACTCTTTCAGGGCTCGGGTGGCCGCCGCTGTAGCCTGCAGGCAGAAACACACACACACACACACACACATCAACACTGCACTACAACTGCAGGTAGTGGCTCAGCTCCAGCTGGCAATCATTAAGGTGTGTGTGTGTGTGTGTGTGTGTGTTTGGGTGGGGTGTGTGTGTGTGTGTGTGTCAGGGGAAGCCCATGTAGTGTGGAAGTGCCTTGGGCCACTGTCAGCGCTGGGCCCTGTGGGACAGCACTGAAAGGTTGCAGGGCACGGCGTTGACCTCTGGTGACCTCGGAGGAGAGTCTGCTTGTGCATGATGCATGGACACATGCGCCTTTGAGTTTGTGTTCGATTTTTAATCTAATTTTGGAATCTAAATTTGCAGTTTAGCAGCTTTCTGCTTGTCTGTGAAGATGAGAAATGGTAATTATGTCAAGGTGATGACTTTCATCACAACAACATATGTACATGTATAAAAATATGTAGAGTAGATTTAAACACTTTCATCTATTGTGGTCAGCTCATGACCCTGTGTGGAGGTACCCAATACGGTGGAGGACAGAAGGTTTCAAGCATTTAAAGCCGGCTTCACTCCACAGGAGTTGTAATAGATTTTGAAATCGTTTTGCATCGCGCACTTCAGGGAAAACCTCACAGATATTCTTCTTTTGATCTCAGGCATGCAACCACTACAAGTTTGGAGAATAATGCAGCATCACACTCTACAAGATGTTTCAAAGATGATCGTGCCAGAGGGCGCAATCAGGGAGCAGAGCAGCACCTCACGTGATCTCACAAGGAAGCAGCTGCAGACAAAATGGAGACTGGACTGGAACTACATGCAGTAACACTAATAAGACTGAACTTCCATTCATGCATTCTTCAGTGAGAACTGGAGGTGGAGTTGTAACTACCAGTGTTAATATCTGGAGCTAACAATAGTCTTAAAGGCTACGGTGTTAAGCATTGCTTAGCAACAGTGTTCACTGCTCTGGGTGGTAGTGTGACAATCGTCACTATCGATCAATGTCATAAAATCCTATTATGAATATATCTGATAATAATCGGGGCAGAGCTGATGAGTCTGCGAGCAGCTCAGAGGTTCAAGACGGGATCTGTAAGATCTAAGACCAGATTTCTCTTTTGATTGTCAGCAGGGGTGAAACGAGGGTAAATCAGCCAGAAACGTCCATAATGTTAGCCTGGCCACAGTTATACACGCTGCAAAGCATTAGTATCTTCTGGTTTACAGACAACTTATTACTGAAATAGTTCCCTTCATAAAAAGCACTGAAGACTGTGCAGCAGAAATTAAATTCAAAATATCAGCTGTTATATTGAGGTAATAAAACATCCAACGAAGCTCCAGCTCACTTTGGTTAATCAACGCATACTTCAGTGACGCACCGATTAACGGATGTGGCTCATTTATTATTTATTAATCCCTTTATAACGGCGACACTTCATCTAAAATACCTCTGATCCACTCCGACATTTCTCTCCTGCAACTTCTCCTTTCTTCTGGGCTGACAGCTTGGCACGTATACACGTATATCAGCTTGGGCGATTTTACTGTGAATAACCGCTGCCGACTGTAAATGTGTCGAAACCATCTTTAGAAATAAAAACATGCAGAAAACTTCCTTCTTCTCAGTTGTTGTTTAAAATATCTTTGTGAAAATCTTTATTTTTAAAAAGGGAGCTAATATTTCCCCAGACACCATCTGTCATCTGTTATAAAAACTGAAGATAATCAGAGGGAGATTAAAAAACACACAAAAAAAAGAAAAGCGTTTGGTGAGTGGACACTGGCTGGAGAGACAGCTGTGGTGTATCAAGACAACACAGCACGGGATCAGAAAAAGACGCCGCTAACAGGTTCTGAGAATAACTGGTCACACACAATACTCGATAATGTCAGTTAATTTATGTCGTGGCTCTTTGGAATTATATCTGAAAGTTTCCGACTAGCCTACAGTCCGGCAGGAAGCAGAAAAGAAGTGTGCTGTAAAGTCAGCGTTTACACATGTGAAGCATAAAGACAGCATCCACCATTTACAGCAGGCGAGCAAACGCTGCACGAGAAGCAGAGAGCTGCAGTTAAACGGTGCATAGACGAAGCCAAAGCCTTTGAGTTACTGAAAACAAAGTCACACTCCTCGAACCAACTCCTCAACCGCATGACAATTCCCTTCGGTGAGTTTTACAAAGTGTGCAAATATGCAATGCAAAGAAAAAGACCATATAATTTCCTTCTTTTCTTTTTACCCCTCGCTATCCTGCTCCCCCCTTATTCCCGACAGCTACTTCTGGCCTTTTCCACTGGGGGAAAAAAGAAATGGCAGCGAGATTAAAGGAATTTATTTGTGCGCATTAAATTAATTCATGAGGTTTCTGTTCCCTTTGTTAAAATCATCCGGAAAGCAGGCCTCGAGTTGCTCTCTTTGAGTGCGGGGTGATAGATTCATCCCATACCTATGTTTGATTGTTCTCAGCATCAAATTCATCACCGTTTCCTCTCTCGGACGACCACTCGGGCGGTTACGAAAGAACCGGGCGGAATTTCTCTGGAAAGCCCGCGCAGGTTTCTGGTTAATATGTTGGAGAGGAAGAGAAATTACACTGAAGTTTCACATCAAACGCTTGCGGCCCGGTTCAAAGCAGAGCGCCGAGCGGAGAGGAATGCGTGCGTGGTGGGATGAACACTGTGGTGGGATGCTTAAACATGGACATGCACACACACCAAATTGCCTCCGGATCCAAGCATGCTGGTTGATGTTGTTAGTTCCACTGTGTCTTCCCAGGCTGACTCCTAATGAATGAATGGAAAACAATTGTAGGGCCTCTGCAGCGCCTGGTAATGGATAGGCATCATTATAAGCCTATTAGCTCTGGGTACTGAGGACTCACCTCTGTGTGGGACACGGCTAACGCAGGGCATGACAGCATGTGCGTGCATGAGTGTGTCTGTCGGTGTGTGTGTGTGGTCTGGGGGGGTGAGAGTTTCTGGAAGGGGGACGAAAAAAAAAAAAAACTCACCCGAGGAACCGTTTAGCTTGATTCAGTTTCAAAACTAGATTTCCAGATTTGAGGTGTTGATAAATAGTTGGATTTGCATGCTGTTTTGCATTTGTATGCTGCGGTCTCACCTGGAGAGCAAACGGGGGGAAACCACAGGCCTCAGGAGGCCTTTAAGAAAATAGAAGCTGCAGCGAGATATTCCAAAGAACTGACTTTTGTTTGACAGAACAAAAAAGGCTTATAAAAACTGGTTAATGTCTTTGCAATGAGAAGTATTTGTGGACACGCACCACTTTAACTTTGGAACAGGGCACCATATAGGACGTTAAGAAAGATTTTCGTGGCCTGTTGCTGTTTATTTGATCACTTCAGAGTGTCTAATCTTTGCTTTAATACAGTATAAGTGATACAAATTAAACCCTATAAATTATGGTTTTATTGTTTTCTACTCTTACTGTAATCTTTTGTTTCTGCACTTTAGGAACCACTTGTGTAAAAATAGAACTTTTAAGACATTTTTATCAAGACAAAAGGATGTGGCATTGCACCACAGGTCCCCAGCTGCTATGAAACAAATAATTATTTCATTTTTGATTGATCCGTTAATTACTTTCTTGATTATTCAGTTAGCTGTTTGGTCTATAAAATATCAGAAAATGGTGAAACATGTCGACCAGTGATTTAAGACGACGCCCTCAAATGTCTTGTTTTGTCCACAACCTTAATATATTCACTTTACTGTCATAGAGGAGGACAGAAAGTAGAAAATATTCAGATTTATGGAACCAGGGAACTTAAAAAATTACTCAAACTGATTATTGGAAAAGCTCACAAGGCTGCTGCAGTTATGCGGCTTGTGCTGTAATTATTTGGCAACTGAGGGCTACTATTTTGAATTTTGAATTATTATTGTAAATTAGCAGGTCTCTGAGTGACGTACTGTATATGCAAGCATCACTTCTGAGATGGTATCATTTATTATTCCTGCTCCTCTGAAGTAGGGTCAGGCTGTGCATATGCCTCCTTCTTGTTTCTCCTTTTTTTTTTGTTTCCTTATCGTAGATTTGTATTATAACTTCATGCATGTGTGAAACATTATTCTGTACATAATGTCTATAATGCTACCATTCAATGGAATTCGTTATACCAGATGGATTTATGATCTTAATTTAATTTGAATATAAAGAGTATTTCTTTATACAATGTGTAGATTAACTAAGAGCGTAAAATAGAAAACATCTGAACTTCAAATATGAGGATAACATTATGCCAACAATCGTAGTTCAGCTCAATAATAAATGAGATCAAAGAGAGCTTAACAGACAGCTGAGAGAGTCACTTATATCAGTCATTGGCTATATGGTTACATAATGTCGTGTTAAATGCAAAAAAAAAAAAAGCACATTTAGATTTTCCAGACCACCAGAAAGTCTGACCGCAAAAAAATGTGAGTTGCCCCCACGGACAAAATCTACGAAGGAAACGAGGGGAGAGAAAAGAAGTGAAAAAAGAAAAATAATCCATTCCTTCCTAACCTGCGGGTAAAATGAGGTCATTTCCTCCTCTGTGACAACTCACACGCAGACATAACCGCAGCGCAGCATACACACATACGCGGGTTTTTGTTGCTATCTTTCACCCCCAGAACAAAGGGCTGCCTGAGTGATCAATCAATTAGCATCTGAGACGCAGGACAGAGCGAGGCAGGTCGGGTTTCATTTACACAGAGCGATGTGGGGATTCGAGTTCTGCTCTGGCTCACTTTTCCTCCTGCGAGGACCATCTATCTGTCCGACTGTGCTTTTGGATTATTTTTACAAAGCTTAGTTACTGCGCGCTTGTCCGTATGAGACAAACAGATACCGGTAGGAAGAAACTGTACTCGGTTGTGTGTTCTCTTGTGTTTGTGTGTGTGTGTGTGATCGTCTTACTTCAGGGAAGCCGCTCATGTTGACCATAATGAGCTGAGGTGACTTCATGGAGATCTGACCCAGCTGGTTGAGAGGAAACTTCCCATCTTCAGTCGTCACCACGATGTGATCCAGAGCTCCTAAACAAATACAGATCAATGGAGGTGTTAGCTCAACTTATTTATTAACCTAAATAGACAATATAGGACGGGTGGGAAGAAAATATTATGATGTGGCATAATCAAAACACTTGATATGAATATTTTTACTAAAGCATGCAGGTGCTATCAACAGATTCCACAACAATCTGACTTACCAGAGTTACTACTATGTGACTCCTCATGGTGGCGCTAACATCAACTTTTATCAACTATTAACTAATTTGCACTGAAGAAGAAGAAGAAGAAGAAGGAAGTCACAGGTGGGGGAGTGGCAGTCAGCACAGACAGCCGGGGAAAGCAAAGAAAAGCTAATTAATTGTATTGACAAAGTATTAAAATTGAGCAGTATGAATGAACACTTGTCCTGCTTTTTGCCTTGTTCGGGGTATTTTTTCATTATTGAATTCCACAGATATCGCGATGTATCACGCATGAATGTCTTGCAATGTATTGAGTATCGCGATAGGTGCCATTTTGGTCTTGCCATGTACAACTTGATTTGTTGTCTGTTGCAAAATTGGGAAATCCAAAATACACTAACGATGGTAAACTGCAGCAGTAACTGTTCAACAGGCTGCATTGTATGGATATCTGGCTTAATTTTTCTCTTTTCAAGTTTGATATGGGTGAATCTGTTACCTTCTGTCAAGATGTTAAAGTCCATCTCTCAACTGTACAGTAACTTTTTCCGGACGTACTTATCACAAAATACTTCCATCCATCCATCATCTATACATCGCTTAATCCTCACTAGGGTCGTGGGGGGCTGGAGTCTATCCCAGCCGACTCAGGGTGAAGGCAGGTTCACCTGGACAGGTCACCAGTCTATCACAGGGCTACACTTAGAGACAGACAACCAAGCACACTCACATTCACACCTACGGACAATTTAGAATCACCAATCAACCTCAATATGTTTCTGGACTGTGGGAGGAACCCAGAGAACCCGGAGAGAACCCACGCTGCACGGGGAGAACATGGAGAAAGATCCAGGGTGTCCTTCTTGCTGCGAGGCAACGGTGCTAACCACCAAGCCCACGAAATACTTGATTATGTTAAACATTTACATCTATATTGGTCTTAGGATCTCTTGTTATGAGCATCACTACAGGTATTAGCCTCTAGTAAACATCTTTTCTGGTTTGATAACAGTTTTCATGGAGATTGACAAAAACATGAAGTTGATCATTTAGTCACTCAGACATACTAACAAACAAACAGATAGACTGAAGAATGAAGCCACAAATTGCAAGAGCAGGTATAAAAATCCCCATTAGAGACGCCTGTCAGACTGTTAAAAGTTTCCATGATCTATCGTCTCTACAGCGACAGAAACAAAGGTAAGTTTGCAAACACAAGCCGACAAAGGTCCCCACCCTCCTCCTGTCCCTCCTCGGCTCCATCCATCCTCCCCTCTCTCTCTCTCTCTCCACCCTTCTCCTCCATCTGGCTAACCTCAGACGCTGTTGTTTCCTTCTTCTCCACCTCTGCCTTACATCACTCCCTCCCTGCTCACCCACTGGGGGCTGTGTGTGGAAAAGTGAGGTGAAGGGGAGGTGAGCCAGTGCTGTAATTTTCTCTATAAGATTAATTTATCAGAAGAGTTCAAGGACAAAAAAAAAAAACACAACACAAGCCACCACCAGCTGATACCAGCCCTGACATACCGTCTGCCTGCCAATTACACCGTCTCCCTGTTTGACTTTGAACATCCATTTGTCCTGCTGCTTACCTCCCAGTGTCTGTGTGTATAGGTAGACCGTCATACTCATATCTGTCTGTCTTTGTTACCTGTGCATTGACAGTGAACTCCAACACATCTGCAAGCACTTTAGGAGGGCAGACAGTCGTTTCTTTACTGTAAAGACAGACGGCGGGGTGGGAGTATTGGAAGGCTAAGAGCTGGGCAGAAGAGAACGTATTTAAAAAAAACAAAACCTCATATGATGCAATACATTACCAGATCTGTTGCTGTAACTACTATCAGAACTTCAAAAGGGCCCTGTTCTGTTGTAAACTACAACTGGATGTTGTGGTACATTTGTTTCCTGTCACCTCGTTAAGGCTCACTTTGGAACAAAAGCAAAATGCTCCAGAAAAGCACCTTATATTATGGTGGTAGAGCAGATTGTCCACTAATTACAAGGTCGGCAGGTCAATCCCCCGTCCTGTCCTTGGGCAAGACACTGAACCCGAAGTTGCTCCCAATGGTATGTGAATGGGTGAATGAGAAACACATTGTAAAGAGCTTTGAGCATCACAAAATGCAGACCATTTATATCAGCTGATTTCTGTGCAGCTAGGTGTAGTGGGCTTGCGGATTTGGTGTCTTTACCTGCCTACATTAACGGAACCATCCATCCATCCATCATCTATATTCCGCTTAATCCTCACTAGGGTTGTGAAGGGCTGGAGTCCATCCCAGCTGATTCAGGGTGAAGGCAGGTTCACCTGGACAGGTAACCAGTCTATCACAGGGCTACACTTAGAGACAGACAACCAAGCACACTCACATTCACACCTACAATTTAGAATCACCAATTAACCTCAACATGTTTTTGGACTGTGTGGGACGAAGCCGGAGAACCTGGAGAGAACCCACGCTGCACGGGGAGAACATGGAGACTCCGCATAGAAAGATCCTCACCGGGATGTGAACCAGTGACCTTCTAGCTGCGAGGCAACGATGCTAACCACCGAGCCGTCTGCAGCCCTAAACTGAACCAAATGATAGCAATTTAAACAGACTTAAAATCAAGTTTGTTTGTTTTATTTAAACTTATTAATATATCCATATTGTGTTTTTTTTTTATATATATGATGGAAGTAAGAAGACATTGCTGAGCTTTTCCACCTTAAAACTATGAAAGACAAAAAACATGGATTCAGACTTTCACAATTTCCTGCGTAACAAACTAAGAAACCAATCCTGAAACTTGCAGGGTGATGCTTCATTTTAGTTTGTCAGAATTAGTTTAGGGTTCGGCTGAATCACTCCAACATTACAACTTGCTATTGTTTAGCTTAAAGTAGTTTTACAGCATATGATCAGAGTCCTAGGAGAGCTGGTGTGCTCGAGCTGCACCGAGAGCAGAAGGGTAGACGAAGAGGGAGGCAGGAGCTTCATAAATCTGCACATTCTAGAGGAAGCATTGCCGTTACATCTAAGCCATATTTAGGCACGAAGGGATTGTTATCACTGAAGAAATGTCTAAATCTGTAACTTCAATACCCAGAGAGGAATTTTAGGGGTTCAATCAACATCTGTAGAAGGACTTCAACCTCTAGAGAGAATTCCCTTACCAAAGAATTTCCCTTCAGGATTAATAAGCTTTTGTCTTATCTTATCTCAGAGAGACAGACTAATTGTTTTCCAGCTTTCATGCTGGGGTAAGGTAACCGTCTGCTGGCTGCAGCTACAAGAATGTGAATAAGGACATAAGCACAAACTATACTTTTAACAATGTTTTCACGGAAATGGAAGCAGATTACCCATCTGTGCTTATCACAACATGGTGGAGAAATAGCACTGATCCCCCCTCCCTACCCTCCTCTCTTTATCTACAGTATCTGTGACTTTCTGCAGACAAACAAACACATGCACACATACAGTATGCATTCATGGCAACACACAGCAGCGCATACAGTCATGTCCACACACACACACTCATAAGTTTAATGAGAGCCAGATGAGAGGTTCATGGAACAAACACACACACACACATTCGGACAACTGACGTCATTCCATTCCACCATCTCATCTCTGCTGTCAGCTCTAAGTCCTGCTGCCTCCCTGGATTACTGTGCAGCTGGACAGAAGAGAGGAGGGGGGGGATGGACGGACCGGAGGAGAGCAGCGCCGGACGGACAGACTGAAGGAGAAGACAGGAAGGATGACAGAATGGAGGGATGGAAACACAAATGATGAAAGAGAGAAGGAGAGTGGAGGGATGGAGGACGTGAAGCAAGGAACTCTGGAGATGAATGAACAAATCTTTCCCTGACGAGAAATCTGAATTCAAAAGTATGAGACAGAGGCTGAGAAATGTCACATGAGCAGAGGCCAAAATATAAAGCTGAGAAAAACTGAAAAAGTAGAGCAAGTGACGGAGGGAGGGGCTGGATGTAAAAATGACTCAGAGCAAAAAAAATGTTGAGTGATGAATGGAGAAAGGAACAAAAAAAAGGTTGAGAATCTACTAGGAAAGCTGTGACACGTCAGGGCTTAACATAAAAATCGAGGTTGAATTTGTGCTTCTGCTGTCTGCACTTTGTGTGAAAGTAAAAATATGAGGAATCAAGACAGTTTTGGGTTTAAAGTATGATTCGAGCGGCTGCCTCCTCCCTCGGGAGCTTCCATTAAACACCCCACCTCTGACTCCCTGAGCCCTGCTCCTATTTGTTAGAACCCAGAGACAAAGGGTCACGGCCTGGATGTAGTTGGGGAAACGGAGGCCAAAGCAGGGTCACGGTAATGTCACACGGGGATCTCCTCACGCTAAACCCTCCGGGGCTTTGTCAGGTAGGTGAAAACACGGAAAAGGCTTTTTATCCCAAAGGAAAAATGTGGACTCATGAATACAGAACATGATGCACGTGAAAAATAAAACTTCTCTTAGTCAATGCATGATTCATGAATCTTTCGTCCGTCAGCACATTGAATTTGAAGTCTCGGCTCTAAGTTTAGAAGATGTCCGTGAAGATTCTCAGTCGTCCAGGTCATGGTTATTCTCGTGGATTAATCCCAGCAACTGGACTTGCTTGAGTTCCTTGACCAGTTTGACCAGGTAAGTTTAGAAGGTTTACATCAACTGAAAAAGAACCGTGAGGGAGATACAGTCCCTTTAACACATACAGCCCAAAGCTTAGGAGTTCAAAAGCCAATGGATGAGCACACATGGAGGCAAACAAAATCATTATTATTGCTTCAAGTTTTGATCCACAGACATCACCGGACGCCCTCTATCATCCCCGGTGATGATCTCCCAGACCGTCACTGCAGCTACCTTCAGCTCTTCTTGCAGTCGAGTCTCCGGCTTCAGTGGGACGCAGCTCAATCTACCTGAGATCAAGTTGTTGATCTGGCTTATTGGGGATATTCCTCCTCTGTATCCTGGAAGGCTCTGTGATGGACATATATTCAGGATGTTTGTCCTGTGATAAGATATTTCAGTCTTTTATGTTATCTTCTCTACTGGCTCCTTTTTACTCCTCATATTAACAAACAGCACTATAAACTGGCAACTCACATCCTTCTAATTTGTGCAGGACATGTTATATTGGCTCCATCTGTGTTGCAGTTCTTTAAGAATTGGCATCAACCGATTCAAACAGTACTTCAATGTCCAATGTTTTATTTCAGACTAAATGTCCTGACCTTCACAGATACCTCGTGGAGTCTGGCATAGAAACTAGCTTCACACTTGAGAGTCAGTCCATTCATGCACGTTTTCCTGTGTTCTGTGCTTGAAATGGTAACATGTGAGAGCTGAAACGGTGTGATGCAAGGAGAAACAGGCAGATGGAAAATGGTCAGAGGGCGTCCAAGAAAAGAAAGAGCGATACGATGAGTACCTGGCGAGGTCCGGATGCTGAGGTTGCGTGTAAACTCATCTTTGAGCGCGCTGAGAACTGCGGTCATGTCTTCCTTCACTTCTTCCAGACTGATGATGTCTTCCACCAGAGCTGAATTAATATTCACCTTAGCTGACTGGCCCTTTGCCTTGGCTTGGAAAGAAGGAAAGTATTGAGGGAAGAGTTGAGGCTCATATCTAAGACAAATAACATATAATCAACAAACTCATGCTGGCTCCGATAGAGCCGTACAGACTGTCCACATGTGGACTACGGTGTCCGTGATGTCCTCACTGACCTTTTGATTTCTTGGTGGCATAGAGCCTGATGCATGCGGCGGGGTGATGGTGGGCGATGCTGGGGCACAGAGGCGCTCTAACGTTGGAGGCGACCGCGAGGTGAGTCCTGACATGTCGTACCAGCGACTGACACAGAAAAGGTCGCAGATGATTCAAAGCCATAACTGTCAAAAAGCAGAAAGGGAAAAGTCCAGAGTGTAATTTAAAAATGTTCCAAGTACATAAATATAACGCAGCAGAGTTTGGAAGGAAAATGTCTGATTACATTTCATAGTCACAAATCATACAGAAACCAATCGCTGGTAATATTTGTCAAAGTGAGGTAATAGCTCATATCAGCCAGCAGGAGGTAGGCCGACATCTTCTTCTCATTTACAGCAACATCATCTCTCTTCTTCTCTCCAACTATCCCATGATAATTTGTGACAAATATATACAACAAAAGGGAAAAAAAACAACCAACCTTTTGTACGCTATATTTTCATTGCAGCTTTACTGGACATATCTGTTCCCAGTCTGTATTTTTGACCATATAAATTACATTCATATACATACAGTAACTGGAAAAATTCAGCTTAAATATGAAGGTTCTTGCTTTTGTTAAGCAGTCATCTTTCAGAGTATCTTCCCTTTTAAATGCTTTAAAACACTTGATGTTAACAAACATTTCACATAAGACCAGACACGGACGTAACTTTCACCTAAATAAGTACATTTCAAGCATCAAACTCTACATTTCGTGTATTCAGGCACATTTTTACACATTAATTTGTGCCTTTTCTGCATCAACTTAAGGTGGAAATGTCTTTATTTGTGTAATGGAAAACATGAAAATTCAGGCTCCAGGTGACAATTCAAAATATAACAGAATATATGTAAATTTAATGATGTTTTTCACAATAGATTCAGTGCTTGTATGAGATCACAATGGGGCTAAATATAACAATAATATTGTCAGCATATCACTTGCTGACTATTTGCTACTTTTTTGGTCAATAAAATGTCGACTAAACTCTCAGGAAGTTACCTAAAAGTATTGAGTTTACCATCATGTAAGGCAAATTAAAGCAGTAAATCATAGAAAGTTCAGCATGTTTGCCTGAAAAATGGCTCATCAATAAATCAGACTCATAGCTTATTATTTCTTTTGTTAATCCACTAATCCAACAATAGTTTAGTTTGGATCAAAGACTGTGCCTTTAGCCAGAATTTCTCTGACTATACAAAGTACAGAAAGAGGAAAGTGTAGTTGTGAATCCAATCAGTGCTGCTGGGGAGCTTCATGCAATCAGGCCACATCACATGCACTCTCACAGTCCCAAACGTGCTCCGTCTCTTCTTCTTCTTATCCTCACAAATCTATGGGACACAACTAACTCTGCACTCAGCACATGCACGGTTGTTTGGGCATTCCTGAAGGGGAACCTCCCGTTCAAAAAAAACACAACAGCATGAGACCAGCCTCCACCTTTCTATGGACGAGTCACACCCCAGCACGCAGACTGCTTGTTGACCCTCAGTGTACACACACCAGAGCAGACACAGTGAGACATTTAAGCCTGCAGACACAAACACACACTGAAGCCCGTCTTTCACAGTCAGTGGCTGTGAACGGCTTGCGGTGCGCTGAAGCCCAGCTGACACCCTCCATTGTCTGCTGTGTATTTATGACGGATACCTGTGCGGGGATACAGTTCTGAGTTTTTCTAAAAACGTCTTACATTTTTGCTACGAAGTTGGATCTTCAGCATGAAGGCAACAAAATACAAAAACCAAATCCAGCCAACTACGATCTAAAAAGCTTTTTCTCTGCTCATACAAGAGGACTCAATGAAACTTCCACTAATGTAATGAGTTTTGACTCAGATACGCCTATCTCGTAAAGTTTGAAAAGAAATGTGAGAACTCAAGGCTGAAGGTAAAGCTGGAAATGAAAAACAGCATTGTGAACATTTTAAGCTACTATAAGCTGACAAAAGTTCCCTAGATGTATCAGAAAGCTTGACAGCTTCGTATTTCTAGCTGAAATGTTATTCCAGAAAACACTTTTCAACAATAGTCATAGACCTAGATACTCTGGGAGAAACTAAATGTTTAATTAGCCGGTAGAAATGTCACTTCATCTCTTCATTTTACTTACATGTGATCGTATTTTCATTTTTTTTTGGTAGAAAACTGCCAAATTGAAAGCTTCGAGTCAAAAACTACATCACAATAGGCAGATAACAAATAACATGAGATCCTCACTTCAATAAAACCACAAAATCCCAAACACAGCACTGTCCTCAGTGTCCTCAACTGTATCTACAGTCACACCACTAATCCTTGGGGCCTTTCCAGATATCAACCAGAATCCAAACATATTCCAGTGGCAATATTTAGGCTACACGGTTGGACCACCTCCTCCGATCCCAACCCCATAACAGGCATCCAAGGCTGGCAGGTTTCCTGACAAGCTGATATGATTTGCCACAGTGTGGCACAGCAGCTAGGCAGAGATGTGGGACGCTGACAGATCTCTTTAGAGGGGAAGCCAAGCAGAAAAAGTGTAGCACAGGTGTTCAGTGGGATACTGTATTCTCATATCCTGTAGATTTCACACACACAGCGGCAGCTGCAGACACACCTCTGTTTCTTCCAGCAGCAGCAGCAGCCAGCTGCTGAGCCCACATGCTCGTTCTGCTCTGACAATAACACTGCAGAGGATCTGATAATGTTCTGCTCCTCAAACACACTGTTCACACTGGGGGTGAAACTAATGATTTTGTTTATCAATCAACCACTCTTTTTTTTGTTTGTCTAATAGATTAATTGTGTAGTTTATACAGTCCCAGAAAAGGTGACAATTGATTATCTCAACCCCCTCTGGAGCCCAATGGGACATCCTCAGGTTGATTTTTTCTGCAGTTACCAATCCAAAACACAATTATCATCATAACACAATATCCATCTAACAAAAAGTAAAATATTTTCATATTTTAAAAAATTGTACCAGCAAATGTTTAACATTTTTGAATCAACAAATGATCAATTTGCTTCATGTGATTAATTCAATCTGTCAATGAAATAGTCATCAGTTAGCAGGACGCTGCATATATGGTCATCTGGCTGGACTGATTGGACCCCAGTGCGTTCCTAATCAGTCAAATCAAATATATGGGATGAATGAATCAGAAATATCACCTAAAACTAAGAATGACAGTTGAGTTGTACTCAAAAAACAGTATATGGCCCACTGTGAGAAATATCCTATAGGGAATTAACCCTTTATTATTCCTTACTGAACAGATGCTTTGGTAGATGTCAGTGTCCTGGTTATATTTGTTATCTTTATTGGTGTCCAAGGCGATGACCTCAAATGTATTATGAATAGCTCTGGATCTAAATTTTTTTTTGTCTTTTTTGTTTTTACAAAAGTAAAAATGCTAATAAAAAAAATAGCTCTCTGTATTTATTTGTCATTCTAACCATACTTTAAAGCCTTCAAAAAATAATATAATATGGCTGATCAAAAACATTAGGGTATTATTTCACTGCTTGTAAAAGTCTGATCTGTTTATTACAGGCCAAATGTTTTTATATGACGATTTTTTTACAGGAGGATATCTGCAGTAGTGACATTACTGTGGTTTGGATGCTTCTCACACAGAACCAAACCTCTCTCATCATTAAAGAAACAAGAGGCCAAGTAACAATAAAAACACATATTGTTGTTTTATTATTAGTTGGTGTAGTTAGATCCCTTATCATTAGAATAGAGTTTTTTTGTCGGCAACACACAGTAGATTTGCTCTGATTAGGTATGTAACTTAACACACCAGCTTGTCTATCTCTTCTCCTGAACAAGTGAAATGGCCAGTCCCTCGAATTAATCTTAAATTAAATTCCTGAAAAAAGCATTTCCAAGACACCCTGACAGCTGATTACAGATGTGAAAATCACATAAATGAGACTAATTCTGTGGAAAATGGGCTCGACACAGAGAAAAATTGGAATGATTTTACTTTGCTCTGAAATAATTTGACAAACATGTAATTATCAGTTTAAAAACTAAAAACTGCTAGACTAGGCTGAGACCCCAATGTACTAAGATCACAAGCACGTCTCTGGAAGTGATAGCTATATTTTAAAATGTCTACCTGGACAAGCTGCTAAGAAGAACTAGTCCTTTGGTGGGCACGAAGCTGGACTCCCTCGACATAGCAGGAGAAAGATGAACCCCTGACTGTCTATTGTGTACAACACTCATCTCCCTAAACCAGGCAGGTGTTCATGCTCCTCAGACAGACTCAGAAATCCGTTTGTCCTCCTGGCTATTCCTCTCTACAACACCTCACAACAATGGCAGGGGCATTCACATCCACAGACAGAACATTTACAATACAATCATAATAATCACAACATTATCTCTCAACCAAAACACATATGCTGTATTGAGCCCTTGTCATCAATTTGTTATACTTTTCTTATCTTAAATACAGATCTTCTTATCTAAGCTATTGGATGCTTGAATTTCCCCCTGTGGATCAATAAAGTATCTATCTATCTATCTATCTATCTATCTATCTATCTATCTATCTATCTATCTATCTATCCGTAGCAGTTGAGATATATACTGTAATATTATGAAAACAGAAACACGTGGAGACTAAGCGGTGAAGCTGCAGCAGTGTGAAGGTCGGTGTGATGGGGGCGTTTGTGCCACATTTCTTCGCCTCTTTCTCACGCTGGAAGCGAAATAAACCAAAACCACGTAAGTTGTTCAATACAAAACTACACTAAACTCGAGCTGACATTCACCCAAACGCGGCCCTCAACTTTAAATAAAGCCAAACTGCGTACTTACTTCAAGTTAAAGCCTTTACAGTAGCATGTTAGCAGCAGGACCAAGCACCAGAGAGAAGACACATTTGACATCCATGTCATCATCAGTACGCGCCTGCGTTGCGTCACCACAGGGTGAGCGTTTTAATCTGTGTGCGGGTTACACCGAAAGAGCGGTGCTGCTGACGGAAGTGTTGGCAAAAAGTACGCGGGAGATGCCAAACAATAAACCGAGCGCTTCCACCGGACTCCGCATACAGTCAAACCAGCTACAGCATCATCCTGCGCCTTTGTTGTCAGACGGTAGCAAGGCGACTGTTTACCCTTCGAGCTAGCTAACCTGATCAGTTAAACGGGGGGAATATCAGTGTATGAAATGATTAGGATTACGTTTTGACGTAACTGAATCATCCCAAAAGTGGATGTAATTAAGTCGAAGACGTCGCCATCGAAGAGGAAGTTTGACAACACCGAGGTAAACGGAGACTGTCTAAGCTAGCTGAGCTAACTGCTACAAACGTCTGTAAGGGACTGATTCAGTTTTAGAAAAAAAAAATAATTAACTGACACTCTTACTACCTGAATTTTAGGATGGGTTTTACGTAACCTGGTCTGTCTTAACTAGATTACCATGACAACGTATTAATAATATTCAGTCAATCAATTCGCGAAGCTAAAGTTAGCTAGGAGCAGGTTAGCGTATCCTTGTAGTGAACCTACAGTTCTTTAAAAAAAAATAATGTTTTAAAGGAAACAAGCGTTTACATGACACCTCAAATCATTAAATGATTCCGTTAAAATGTATTACTAAAGATATTATACACCTATCCTGTAAATAATGATTTAAAAAAACGAAGAAAAACATGTTGACAGCAGTGTCCTGTCACCTTCTCAACTCTCCTTTTATACTGTGGCTTTAGTTTACGATTATTTCCATTGACGATTAATCTGTTGAGTCTGGTTTGTAAAATGGTGTAAATTTCAACCAGTGCTTCCAAAAGCTAAGGTGACAAATGTCCTGTTTGGTCCACAACCCAAAGACACTTAGTTTACTATCATAAAGGAGTAAAGAAACCAAACATTATTCAACTTAGAGAAAATACAATCAGAGAATTTGGGGATTTTGTTTCGTGAGAAATTACTTGATTGATTTATTGATTGTCCAGAAAGTTGACAGTCACTTTAAGAGCTGACAAGTAATCGATTTGTTCTTCCATCTCTACTTCATACATATATTTAATGTCATATAGCCATCACATTTAATGTTTCAGATGTAAATAACACAATGAGTAAAGTGAGCAAATAATGTGTCTTACTAAATTAACTTACAAATTAATTTACAGAAATGCCCTAGATCAGTGTAGATATTGCCTAACCTTGTTATTATATGATTAAGTAATTTATTTTTGTGTCACAGTTCATGTTGAAATGGTAAAAGACTGAACCTGTTCTCAGCACTTCCTTTTCATAAAGGTCTTGTTAAGAGATCCAATGTTGGTCTGATAGCTGAATGTCTGTATGTGATTGATCTGTTCTCTCCATCTCCCAGAAGCTTTCTGACAAATCGTAGTTTATCAGTACGTTTCTCTGTAGCACGATGTGCCATACTATTACCAACTTGTCTGAGTTGTGTGCTGGTGTTTGCCTTCCCTATTGACTGTTGAGTGTTAATAAGGTTCCTGTCATTGGGCTCAAAACTATACCAGCACCTCCACAATGACACAAATGCAAACTGTTAACTTACCTCTGCCTTTTTTTCCCTAATCTGTCTTTAATTCCCACTTCTCTCAGAGTACACATGTCGTCTGCAGCGGAGACGGTGGAAAATGCCTCTATTATTTCAGAGAGCATGGCCCATGATGGAAACCGTCTGTGGATAGGCAACATCGACCCCAAAATCACAGAGTGAGTAAATCCGCTGCTGGTTTCACGCAGGTCCACGTTTTCTTTCACCTCATGGTATTGGTCAAAAAAGTCATCATAATCTGTTTTTTATATTTTTATATAAGTACGACACAGATTATATCGAGGCAGAAACTAACAACGACAAACTACAATTACTGTGTTCTTCATCTAGTCAACACATTTAAGTCATGAAAAGTTACTGGAAATAAAAACAAATCTCCGTTTCACTACAAAACTACAAATCCCAAGTTTCAAACATGTGAACCAGCTGAAATGAAGAACAACATTTGCTGTTCATTTTAGCAGCCGCACATGTTTGATTTGGGACTGCTGTAATTTAGTCCATGTTATGAACCTCGGCCATTAGTTTTTAACTTGCCTGGCTCTGCATCATAGAGAGGCAACGTATTGTATGTGTGCATATATGATTGATTAACCGTGTGCGTAGCGTGTGTGTGTGTGTCGGGGTGTGAGACAGAGCAGACGGGCCTGGGTGTGTGAACGAGAGGCAGTGAGGCGAGGAGACCTGCTCTGCTAAGGAGCAGCCATCATTCCTCACTCACCTGCCCTGTTTACTCTCTCACTGTCAACCTGGACCTGAGTGTGTGTGTGTCTTTGTGTGTGTGTGTGTGTGTGTGTGTGTGTGTAAGCATGTTTAAATACACAGCTGATGTTTAGGTGGCAGCTGGCAGAGGTGCAGGCTTCAACACACTGAGGAGTCTGTGTACATTATCAGCCTACACAACGTCGCACGTACAAGCAAACATCTTTCCGTTGTTGCGTTTGTGTGCAGGGATGTGTGTTGTTGAATGTCCGTGACACATGTTGTGATGGAGAGGAGGTAGTTTTTCGGGGTGAGGGGCGTGTTTGTGTGCCTGTGGGGGCTGCTGGAGAATGTACGGTCCGCAGCTCTGGTGGGCGTCTAGACAGGCGTTTCCTTCCCCTCTGCCTGCTCTGCTCTACTTCTCCTTAAATAGCCCACTACTTCGCAGTATGGAGGGAAAACAAGAGAAATGCCCGTGGCCCCTGTTGCTGATTGGGAAGATTAATTAGCTCCAAGGATAGCACATGCGGTCCTGCCTCTGTTTGTCCTGCTGAGCCAAGTTCAGTGCAGAGGAGGAATGTGGAGCTGAGATGCAAGGTGCTGTTTACATGAGGCCAAATTATGAATCACCACACTTTGTAATTTTTTAATTGAATAGTGAGGAAAAGACATATTTTAGCTAATTACATAAATACAACCTTATACTGCGAGATTTTATCCGAGTCATTAAATCCAGGCTAGAATTTGGCTAATACGTTTTTATGTGTAATTAATCATCCAGATATCAACAGATGGCGTCTAAATAAAAAGGCAAATTCTTAAACCATTGTGCGTGATATCACTATGCATCTTTTGCTTTTTGTTTGTCATTTTATACCATATGATCTCTACTGATTTACATTTATCAGAGATGTCCTTTTTTGCTCAAATCCTACAAAGAAAAAAATCCATTTGTCTGTTTTTATACGACAAATGTTTGCTTGCTTGATGCTTTTTGTGTCAAGAGGCTGCACAGCTGGTAAAATATCGGTGGTAAAAGGACACGCCATCTCTTCACAATAAGTTAAATTACATGTAAAAAGCTTAAAATGGGGGGATGGAGTCTATCCCAGCTGACTCAGGGTGAAGGCAGGTTCACCTGGACAGGTAACCAGTCTATCACAGGGCTACACTTAGAGACAGACAACCAAGCACACTCACATTCACACCTACGGACAATTTAGAATCACCAATCAACCTCAACATGTATTTGGACTGTGTGGGAGGAAGCCGGAGAACCCAGAGAGAACCCACGCTGCACGGGGAGAACATGGAGACTCCGCGCAGAAAAATGTGAACCGGCGAACTTCTAGCTTCGAGGCAACAGTGCTAACCACTGAGTCACCTTGTAGCCCGTAATCACATATGAGACACAAAATTGCTGAAAGTAAAATAGCTGGGTTTTTTTTAGGACTAGTATTGTTGTTACTGCTTCATTATTGTCTGTTAGCTTAGCAAATAGCAATGGCTTCTGTCTCTCTTTCGTCTTCTGCAATGCCAGTTATCTCAAAATGGCATTTAATAGGCTCAATTAATCAATTCTTTACTAATTTAAATATATAGCAGAAGTAAAAGGCCATGTTTTATATACTAGCAGCAATAACATCGCTGTATGCAGCCCGAGTATTTTGGACATCCAGTTCTGCTCTGGCTGGTCGTGGGAGATGTTAGATTAATATGTGATGATGTAAGAAGGCAGCACTTTAATTTTAATATGTTCTCTGTCAGACAAATTAATTGTGTAGTTATGATCGATTGCTAAGTTCCTCGCTGGAAGAGAGGGCTCATATCTTAGGGCTTAGACTTAGAGAGTGTGTTCCAAGCATGGGATGTTTCAACATGAACTCGCTCTTCATTCTGAGCAACTATATTATGGGAAAACTATAATTTTCTCGCTGCCGCTCTTTTAAATGCTCAGCAAAGATGTTATCTTTGCTGTCAAAGGACCAGAAATCATTGACACGCTCTTTTACTCTTCACCATTGAGACGCGCTCCTCAGAGCAGATGAACATCCCGTTTAGTATCCACGAAGAGTTTTTCATCTTTTCCTCGCCCTGCTCACAAAGCCGAGTCATAGCAGGTGTAACCAGAGCTGTCAGCACTTATTCATGTTTTTGTACTTTTCCCTACTTAATAGTGATCCATCACCTTCATCCCTTTTGTTCCCTCTCTGGTCCTCGTGTTTCATGTAAACTAGTGTACCTGGAAGCTGTCTTGAGTTTTATTAAAGAACTAAACTTGGATGAAAACCATCGCAAGTCCTGGATTTTTAGGAAAATGTGATGAAACTGCACACGCTGTAGCTGCACTGCCAGAAAGTCAAAACCAAGCCCCACCTCTTCGCTAGGTTTTTTTTTTTTTTTTTTTCTCCTTCTGACCTGCTGGACCGAACCTCTGGTCTTATCTTTTTCTGGACACCACTCACATCCCTCCCCCCCTCTTTCCCTTCCTTCCTCTTCTGCTGCTTCCTAGGCTCTTGTATCTTTCTTACCTGGCTCCTCACCTCCTCTCCTCTTTTGGCTCATCCTCCCCTTCCTACACCTTTCACCTTACCGTCAACATCCCTCCCCCCCCCTCCTCCTCTCTGAACTTTACTCCCCCTCTGCCCACCTTTCCCTCCCTTTCCTCCCTTTCCTCCCCCCCTCTCCTCCTCTTCCTCCGGTGGTTTTTACAGCCCCCAGGAGGAGCGGTCCATTGTGGTTCAGCTCGCCAGCATCCAGAAATGTTCTTAGAGTGTCTGGCATCGAATCTGTCTCAAAAATACATTCAAATAAACATGCAGTATATCCTGTATCCATGTGACTACAGAGCAGCATCGAAAGATTCTATTTAATGCATCACAAATTTCAGAGTTAGCTGAAAATGTTTGTTTTCTAATTGGTGATTTTTAAAGTTCAACGGTGCACAATGCAGTTAGGAAATCTATATGTGCACAAGAAAAGTGGTGCGATAAACTCAATTTCAGCAAAAGCTTTTCCGTGTAAGTCCGCCTCGTGCAGGATGAGCCACCATCACACTCGCAGGGGTGTTGTCTGGGAAAAGCAGAAATTCTCGTAGGCCTAAAGCCCTCCAGGGAGTCGTAGAAGGGTGGAAGGCATTAGCACAACCTGCAGCTTAAACCCACACTTCATCCTCAGCATCCCGCGCCGGCTCCCATTCACACACACATGAATGCACGTTTTCACATTCACGTCATGCGGTCATTTTCGAACCACTGCGGGATTAAAAATAACAGGCGCCTAAACAATAAAAGGCAGAAGCATTGATTCCTATTGAGCAGCTGTACCTGGGGTCACTGCGAGGCCTGCTCTGTCACACAAGCTCATGATACAGAAACAAAAACACAGGAAGATGCTTGTTGATGTTTCTTGTTCGTGCATTTTCAGTTTTGTTTTTGTTCTTCGTGGTTCAGTAGGGCTTTTTTTTTTCATTGCAGACAGTTTGACGTATGACAATTAGGGATGTTATTGATTTTCTCTTCATCAACCGTTATAATTTAACCAATTCAAAATATATTAACCGATTACATTACAGTAAGCTGTTTTTTGTTGCTGCTGTAGCTGTTGAGCTGTACCACCTAACTGTAGTTAAACTAGTAAAGGGCCACCATGAGAAAGTTCCCTGTGACATTTAATGCCTGCTGCCCAGCGCTCTACTTGTGTAGGTAAGCTAAGGTGCTCTAGCGTCACTGTGGATTAGTGGCTGACAGTTTATGCCAATGAAGATGTCATATAACATACGAGGTGTGTCAGAAAAGTTCCAGGACTGGTGTCACAAAAGATAGATTTCAAACCCAAACTAGGAGTTTTCCCCTTCAGACGATCAACCAGCATGTCTACAAACAGATCCTGCGGCGTTTGCTTGGTTCAGAGAAGAGGTGAGAGTTGTGGCGGGACGAGTCCTGGCAGCCCCACCATGACAACGCGCCTGCTCACAACGCCCTGAGCATCCCACAGTTCCTGGCTGAGAAGAACATCTCCGTGCTGGAGCAAGCTCCCTACTCACCCCACCTGGCTCTGGGATTGTTTCCTCTTCCCCAAGCTCACGGGGGTCATCAAGGGGACCCGCTTAGAAGACGTGGACGACATCAAGATGGCTGTGACGACGGAGCTGCAGAGGATCCTGGAAGAATCCCTCCAGGAGTGCATGGTGGCGTGAAGAGAAGGCTGGGGAAGTGGGTTAGACTCCAGGGGGATTACTTTGAAGGGGAAAACTGGTAGTTTGAGTTTGAAATCTATCTTTTGTGACACCAGTCCTGGAACTTTTCTGACACACCTCGTATGTCATGGAGGAAGGTGACTACATACTATAGATATTTTACGGCTTTAGTTTGTTTCCAATCTTACCTCCTGTCTGCTCTCTGTGAACACAACCTGCAGTTCAGCCCAGTTTAGCTAAAGAGTCGCTGAGTACCAAAGGCTGCACGGTTGAACCAGGAAGCACAGAATTTGTTTTCTATAGAATATGGTTAGAAAAATCAAATGACTTTTGGCAATTTTTTAAATGAGACATGTAGGATGAGGGGGTTTTGTTAAAATATTGCAGTTTTAAGCTAAGATTTGTTTAAGTTAACTGACAGATCGGCATGTCACAGACGAGCAGTTCAAATCGGAAAGTTGAAAATCTGATGATTCTTTCTCTTCCTGCAGGTTTTCTTTTCTCTGATAAATGAGTGTGGCTTTTTTCTTTAAAGATAACATGGATTTTAAAACTCGGTAGTTGGCTTTAGGGTTGCGAGGGTTAATATTTGAATATCAGACAAGACAAACAACTTGAGCTTCTGTCTTGGGAAGTTGTTATTGACATTTTTTGATGTTTTCTTTTTAATGAAATTGGAAAGCACCTGCCGCCCTGCCTGTGTTCATTCACTGGATATTTACGCAGTACAGCAGCACATATAGTCTTTAAGGGATCCTGAACTCATTGTGCTTTTCTGTTCTGTCAGAAGATTTTTTTTTTTCCCATGACCGCTACAAACACACACACACACTGCATAGCTCTTCCATGACCACATATCTATGCTCCTGTGTAGTCCAACAGTCCCCGGCAGCTCCACGCAGTCGGTGGAGGTTGTTTGTGCAGAACTCTGTGCTCAAGGGGGATTTGAGGCTTCCTCTGTTTTATTCCCTCATTGTCCTGCTACTGTATCCTCAGCATTGTCTCAATAAGAGATTTACTGTCACTGGGCTGCCACACCAGCTGGCCTGCTGCTAAAAAGGTGTCAGAGAGAGAAAGCTGTCATTCTCATTAGCAAGACTTGACAGATTCACAGACCGTACGGTGGCAAATACTGTGTGGAGCTGATCCTGGTGACTGGTTCACATGTGACTGTATCTCCACGCTGACCTACAAGCATACATGTTGTTGATCTTCATGGAAAAATATGAAAAATGTAGGTCAGATACTGGAGCTTTTTACCAAATATAGAAGCGACCCTATTGTGATCCACTTCTCCCTCTCACTGCCCATTTTAAGTAACATTGACCTTTTTAAAAAGCTTTACATACGTTCAATTTACTTACATCTTTTATGTTTTCTCTCTACCTTCACTCCTCTACAGGTACCACCTGGTGAAGTTGTTGGAGAAGTTTGGCAAAGTGAAACAGTTTGACTTCTTGTTTCATAAGTCTGGACCTTTGGAGGGACAACCACGAGGCTACTGCTTCGTCAACTTCAGCACCAGAGAGGTACATGCAGAATGTTTAGATTGTTTTCATGGGATTTTCAGTGATTCTACAAGGTTGTTTTTTTGGGGTTTTTTTTTACAGTATGTGGTTTTCTGTGCTCAGATTTATAAAATGAGAGGCTTTGATTTTGTTTTGTCATTAATAAAACTCTACAATCTTCAATATGTGGCACTACAGTTCATATGGATCAATACAAGAGTTGAGTTTTAGCTTTGTATTTTCCTCCACTATTACCATCTGATACAAGGTTTGATCAAAAGGTTCAGAGACTGAGTCTAAAAACCAAAACAGCAAATCTGACTGAAATTGGCCGCGGTCAACATTTGGAGGGTTCATGGAGTCGTCATGTGAACCACAGTGTGCAATGCCAAAGTTCTGAACTGTTTCCAAAAGGGCAACCCGTCAACTTATTATTTTTTTAGAGGGCGGGAAAGAAGAAGAAGTTGCAGAGACCCAAATCTGCCAAGTAGGGGAGCAGCAATTGTGTTGAACTTCCATCCATCCATTATCTATACACAGTTTAATCCTCACTAGGGTCATGGGGGGCTGGAGTCTATCCCAGCTGACTCAGGGTGAAGGCAGAGGACACCCTGGACAGGTCACCAGTCTATCACAGGGCTACACTTAGAGACAGACAACCAAGCACACTCACATTCACACCTGCGGACAATTTAGAATCACCAGTTATTTTGGACTGTGTGGGAGGAAGCTGGAGAGCCCAGAGAGAGCCCACGCTGCACGGGGAGAACATGGAGACTCCACGCAGAAAGATCCTGGGTGTCCTCACTGGGACGCGAACCGGCGACCTTCTTGCTGCGAGGCATTGATGCCAACCGCTGTTTCACCTTGTAGCCCACCTTTACAGTTCAGCTCTGGAAAACAAATTCACAAAGCAAACCCCAGTGAATGTTAAATGAAACAGTGAGCCTGCTCCTGGTCGTGCTGCTGAAATAATGCACCTCCTTCACACACTGCAGGTTCTTATTCTGAAGGTTGCTGTTTGGTCTCTGGGTTGAGCCATAGACCCAACTCCTATCACTCGTCATGACTGAGCTAAAGGTTGGGTTGATCTGATACACAATTTGATGTTTGCACTCTGCACAACTTTGAGGTCCTTGCTGAAATTGTAAATGTGCACCTGCATGTGGTGAGAGTGGGATTTCCAGGGAGTGTTTGAAACTTGGCAGGAGCACTGGGAACACTGTGTCACTGCACCAGAACACTGCTTTTAAGGGGATCGCTTCCAGATTTATATCATTGTTTTGCTTTGTATAGGCTCAGTTTCTGAACTTTTTGATTTCACCTTGTGCTTATTTTATCAACAGAACTTTCTTCATTGAGTGTAATAACGCTCCCCAGATTCAAAGAGACAGTCAGGACCTCACTGCGTGTCTCACTGAAGAGGACCGTATTTCTAAAAAAAGTACTTGAAAGGAATGTGCACAGGTTCAGCAGGCAGTATTTGTTTTGGAGTGTGCCTGGGGATCATGATAAGCATCTAGCTTCACAGCTAGTGTCTATCAGTGGGATATGAAGCCCTCCCAAAAGGATTATACAGAGGAAGTGTGTGTTTATCTTACACACTCACACACACACTTACATGTAGACACACTTGGATAAAGAACTTCATTAATATAATTTAACACCAAAACCACTTAGACATTTGATTAGACAAAACTACTTTTTCTCACGCTGCCTCTCAAACACACAGCTGAGACACACACACACACACACTCAAACACCTCAGTTGTGGCCTTCAGCAAACAGAGTGGCACATCATCAACATCTATTATTGTTTCTGCCGTTTCTCTGTTGTGAGGACTAATGATTTAATGACTCGGGTGCAATCATCAAGGCTGATTTTTAATCATAATTGTAAAGAACCTGTTCTTCTGTCTTTCCCTCTTTTCCTCTTCCTCGTTTCTCTCTCTGTTTGTCTGCAGGAGGCAGAAAGGGCGATTCAGTGTTTAAATGGGAAGCTAGCTTTGTCCAAGAAGCTGGTCGTGCGCTGGGCGCACGCACAGGTGAGGGTAAGTGTCAAGGTCAACCCCCAGATACAATACAGAACTTGTTATGCATGCGTGACGGGCCGAGGTATGTTCCATTTAATTATAGCACTGATTGTGGCTGCAGTTTCTGGAAGACGGATAAAAAAATAACTAATAAATCCTACGAGGAAGGACGTTTATGATTGCATAGTTTGCGTCTAAGTTGTGATAAAAGATCTTAATCATGTGTTTTTATCAGTTTTCATTTTGATATTACTACTGCAGTGTCCAGTTTACAGAGAGCACAGGGATCCCAGCACAACCTATGCCTGTCTCTTAACAATAGACAGCCTACTGGCGAAGGGTGAAGGGAAATCCTGTATAGAGACGAATCACGCCCTGCACACACATACACACAAACACATGGTAGAGGGAGGTCAAGGTCACTGCTGCCGCCTCTGAGACAACACGCTGTGAGATAAATCTGCTCACAGATTCACTGTAACTGGGCTCAATTCACCTTTAACTAAAAATAGTAGCTGTCTTTATCGATGCTGTTAGAATAAAACATTTTTAAATGATTATATCCAGAATGTTCCATTAATATGAATCTGCCTGCGTCTTTGGCTGACTCAGCTGCAAAACAAAAGTCGTCTCAACCACTTGACTGGAAAGTGTCTTGTCAACATCTTCTAAATGATGCTTCCCTCATACTTGCCACTGGACTCAGTTCACGTGTCCTTTGAATTGAGTTTTTTTTTTTTGATCACAAATGAAAAAACTACAAATAAAGCTGCCTTTTTTGCTCACTATCATCTGCATTTGATAAACTTTTACTAGGAAGAAATTCTTGCTAATAAAAGTTTGTCAGTTTTTGTATTTAATGTTTTTAATACTGGGTTCAGGGTTGGAAGGTTTTCTATAAGGAACTGATTCCCGTGTCTTCGTCACTCTGCCTGTCTCATAAATGCATAAATGTCAGTTCCACTCAGAAAATAGCATCTTCTATGCGTTAACTTAAGTCGTCTTAAATAGGGCTCAAAGATTTGAAGGAAGTATCTAGTTTTCTCTTGGATTTTTCTGACAGATATCGCGATTTGTTTTGCGATACTGAAGTCAAGCTTCAGTTCAGTGTTTACTGTGATAGTTTTAAAACATGATGGTTCCCTACCACATGAGATACCATGAAAAATCACACTAGGAGGATGGCATTAATGTAAAACCACTGGCATGACATTTTACACTCTTGATCAGACAGGCAGTTATATATTCTGAAACCCTTACTGTAGAAGATGAAACCCTTTCACAAAGATCAAGACCACCCATCACCTGAAACACTTCTCCTAGGAGCTGCTGTGTCCTTTAACCAGTTTCTAAGGCATGCCTGGTTCATGCTTGTAAACTTTGGCAATTTCTTGGGTTCCGCTGGTCACGTTTCTTTTTACTAGGTGTGAGCTGTCCGTAGTGATAGTAAAAGTGTGCATTTGTAAACCTGCATTACATCATCTGCACCACTATTTGACCCGAAAGTGCAGCAAAATAAGTCATAATTTTTGCAGGAATATTCTCACTATTCTCTGTTTTTGATTTATGTGCTATAAAGCACACACCTTACCCCACTGTAGGGGGGTAGCAGACACTCAAACAGAGGCAGCTTGGCTCACTTTGCTGCTGGTAATGTTGCTGTGTTCACAAATGCAGCGAGAGTCTTCTTCCTGAAGCAGGCATCATTTAAAGCTGCAGACACTGAAACAGCCCATTTAGTTCAAAACTAAAACCAGGAGTTACACAGTCACAGTGAACTAATCTGTGTTTGCAGTATTTTGAGCTGAAGAATTGAAAAACGCATTCTGGGGACACATGAGACTTTAAATAGTTTTGCTGAAAAGGGGCACAATTCTAAATGTTATGTTAATATTATTTATATTCAACTGAAGCTGCACTGCACGCCTCTCCACCCCCGTAGAACTGGGCTGGGCTCAGTTCCAGTTCCCCCTCCCAATCCCAGTGAAGATGGCACACCGCGATCCAGTGTTCGGTGCAGTACAACGCTTTATGTTGAAGTGCCGTCTCGATGCTCCCGATGTCGGAGATAATTCAAGCAGGCTGGTCTGCGAACCTTCTCCTGGCACCAGTGTTTTTTTGACAATGCAGTCTCTGTTACACAAGTTAAGATTTGAGCAATCTTCCACCGGCGGAGCCAGCTCAGGTCTAATTGTCTTCACTGAGTCCGACCCAGAAGTGACGTTCTGGGATGAGTGAGTCAGAAACAGGCAGTGTCAAAGTTGTTGTCAGATTTTCAGGCGTACATCTTGACTTTATTACATTGCTTTTAAAAAAGAGGAAATACTCTACTCATTTATTAGAATATTCTATAAAGTCTTTTGTTTAAAAAAAAAAGCAGATTTATATTTGTGTTATTCATCATTAAACTTATTGGATAATTACACATTTATACCGCTGACACTTCTCAAGTATAACAATGAAGTCTTGCTGAAAGACGATTGTAACACAGAGGTTGAACCATACCACCAGAACCATTGAGCTCTCCCATTATGTAGCCTGTGGATTGTTTACGGATTCATTATGGACTTAATGGCTCTATGTAGATCCATATGCATTCCAACCACATGCCTGAAGGAATAGGTGGAAGGGAAGGGTCCTGGCTGGTGCACTGGTCATTGTTTTAAACTTATTCTTAGCTATACGTGTTCTTTATTTCACGGGACAGTATGTAAGAATGTGTGTGTGTGTGTGCTTTTGTGCATTCATGTAACTTCATGTAACTTAATTTGATTCGCTTCCAATTCCACCACCTGCGACTTTGCCAGATGATGTCTAACTATTGTGTTCCTGCAAGAAGCTGCAGCGAGCGCTGGGGGATTATCACGCCTGTTATGTGACCGTTGCTCTGTGTTTTGTTTTTTTTCTCTCTCTCTCTCTCTCTCTACAGGTTTCTGTGTTGGCTGGTGGGGATGTTTGGAAGGTGGTTTTGAAAGGAATGAGTGCAGACGTTGGTTGTTGTTCGTCAGCTGGTCCCACTTTATCCTCCCTCATCCCCTTAGGGTGTGATTATGAGCTGGACACAGAGTCCCGCTTGGTTACTGTCTGTTTGACCAGACACAAACAAGATCAATACTGCAGTTTAACAAAGTTCATATTTCTGGAGGAGAGCTGGAGTTGATTCTCCAGAGAGCTGCTGTCAGTATTTATTAGGAGGTTTTTTTTTCTACAAGTCTGCCTGACATGAATCCTTCTTGTTCTTATTGTTTTGCTCTTTTTCTTTCTCTCCTTGTTATGTGGTCTTGTTCAAAACTTAGCCCGGAAATGTGTCTCAGGTGGAGGAAATAAAGTTAGCGTTGCACTTTTAGTTATTATCAGAAACATAAATTTCAATCTTATTTAGTCACCAGAGCACTCGTGTCTGATGTAGGAGCAGATGTGAGCTGCATCACACTCTGCGTTGCATCTGGATGCGAGTTGCTGTGTCTGAACACGACAGATTGTACCTTCAGTCCGCCCCACTGACTGTCTGCTTCTTTTTATCTTGTGTATTTTGTGACCATCCATGTGTCTCTGTTGTTTCTCGCTGTTATTTTACTCCTTTTGTTTGTCTCTCTCCATCTGTCTGTGTATCGTTTCCATCACTGTTTGTGTGGGTACTTTTTTTTTTTTTTTTTGGCCACCTATATTGTTTACAGAGGTTTGAAGGTTTCCGTAATGACAAGACGATGCCTCCGAGCCTGGAACCATCGTGCAGCGGTGCAGGAGAGGAAGGAACCATAACAACCAACCACCTCAGGTTGGCATCACACAAACACAGTATCCTACCTACTGTTTGTAGTTGCATCTCTTTTTTTTTTCATTCCTTCTGGAGTAAGTCCACGCTTGAGATAGCTGAATCTGAACATTCTCATGGATTAATCATGGCAATTGTTTGAGTTCCTTGAAGACGTTTCACCTCTCATCCAAGAGGCTCCATCAGTTCTGACTGACTAGTTGGGAGTTCCAGATACTTCTATCCTTCAGGAGCCATTTACACCTGAGTTGCAATTTCAGTTGGGGGTTTGTTGCTCCTCTCCCCGCCACAATGGGGTTTGTTTGTATCTGGAACTCCCAACTAGTCAGTCAGAACTGATGAAGGATGAAACGTCTTCAAGGAACTCAAGCAAGTCCAGTTGCTACGATTAATCTACCAGAATAACCATGACCTGGATGACTGAGAATCTTCACAGACATAAATCTGAACATGCTCTTTCCTATATAAGTTACCTACATCCACACTAAACCATTTTCATTTCAAAATGCACATCTTCTGCTACTTTAACGCCTAACGTCCACACGACGACCCCTAAAACGGAGATCTTTGGAAACTCAGAGTTCAGTCTGGACGAGCAGAAACTGAGACTTTGGGAAACGACGCCGCCCATGTTTGCCCTCTGACTGATCAGGATTGTCGTTGTTCCCTGATTTTGTCACGCTGCTATCAAATGAATGTTTCCCGGAAGAAAACAAAGACATCGGCCTTGACTACCAGTAATTAATTTAGCACGGATAACAAATTACAGGCGTCGCTGTTCTTACTTTTCGTCATTGCTGCTCTTCCTCTGTCGTATTTTCTACAACTTAACAACCTGCTTCACGTTTACAGTGTGTGTGAAAGGTCATGAGGCAGGTGTTTTCAGGTGTGTTACTGAGACTATTTGTGAAACACAACTTGTCTTGACGGAAATCACTTTTGGATGAAAACTCCACGTTGAATTGTGGATGTGCCTCTTGATAGCAGCCTCCAAATACATAAATTTAGCTGTGAAGTTACATCTAATTCTCCCTTGTTGTCAGTACAACAAACACAGACTTGTTAAGGTGTCACTGTGCTTTAATTGTGTAGCTATAAACAACAATTCCTGTAACTTTCTGAAACCAACAGGCCCCGGCTGCTTATTACATCCATAAACACGTCTAAATTCAGTCTAACTCGGATGGCACCTACACAAACATGTTTTTTTTTTTAACTGAAACCTTAATTCACCCAGGTAGCACAAACACCTTCACACACACTCTCCAGTGTTAGCAGAGAGCTGGTGGGCTTTCTGCTTTCACCACAAACCGCAGTTCAAGCTGAGTTCATCTGAGTACAAACTGGACCAACACTTCAAAACCATCTGGGTCCAAGTGTTGAAGTTCTGTCAAAGCAGATTCCAAGATATTCTGCTGTTGCGGCTACGTTTGCAGCATTTCTACGTGCACCAGTTTTAAGTCGGTTGTGTGTTGCGCTCATGTTGTCAGTGTTTGTGCAGCGAGCTACGAGCTTCTTCTTGCACACTTTGATTCTAGTGTAAACTTCAGAAATCACTCTCCCCACACGGCACAAGAGAGGAAATCTACACTACAACACGCTTTCTCTCTGCTGTTTTTTCTTTTTTTTTTTTTTTTAGATACTCATCACACACTCTCACACATTCCCTCTTCTTCTCACAAGCACCGTCATTTTTTTTTACATCTCATCTCTCTTGCTCCTCCACATTCAGTTCCCCCATTCAAACTTTTCCTCTGTTTTTCGAGCAGCACAACTAGTGATCAGTTTTTTTTTTTTTATTTGTCAGCCTCCTCTTTTTTTCCCCCCATCTTTAAGCCAAAACCTGTCCATCACTCAGTTTGTTCTCCACCCTCAGTACCAGCCCTGGTATTTCCCCCCACCCTCTCCATCAAAGCCTCTCCACTAACATCTCTCTTCCGTCTCTCTCTCTCTCTCTCCAGTACGAGTGCTAAGATCCGCGCCATCGAGGCCAAGCTCCAGATGATGGAGGAGAATCCAGACGACGACTACTCGGGCCCGTCGGCCTACGTTTACAACAAGCCGCCAGAGAGGAAACGCTGGGAGCCCTACTCTAAATCACACCACAATAACCAGAGCAGGCCCTTCCGCAAGTTTAGGAGATGACCCATCCTCCCACTTACTCTGGAGATCCCCCCCTCTCTTCCCCTTCCCCTCCCCCAGTATCTGCACCTCCTCAGCCCCCCACCTCCACACAAACAGGCTCCACACTATACAGACTGCACACATCCTATGTGGGAGAGTTTTGATCCAGGTGAGCGACACCCTGTGACTGTTTGGGAGTGACCACGGCGATCATGGACAAATACCCAAAGTATTGTTTTTTTGTTTTTGTTATTTCAGGTATGATCAGTTATTCTCCAGTCAGATATGTGACCCTGTCTGGCTGGTTGGGCCCCTGGACGATGTGTTTTGTCACTTTTGCAGAGATTTAACAGGTGATCCACAGATAAAGAGAAATGTTATTGTCAAGGAGTGTAAATGCTGTTTTTCACATCATGTTATTTAAGAAAAGAGTTTTTTCTTCTTTTTTTTATTTTTGAGGGGAGGGGGCTCACTTTTCGGTTTGGCTTTATTTAAGACATGTAATTAATTGGTTTGTATTAATGAACAATAAGCCACAAGCCGCTCAGCGACACTTACTGTGAGTTGCAGTATTTTTTTTGTGTGTTCCTTGTTTTTTTTCTCCTCCTCCCCCTCTAATGATTTGCTGATTTTTCTCGGATCCAGTTTTTATATGACTCTTTTTACTGACTTTTGTGTAGCGTGTAGATTTTTTGGTATTTCCCTGGTCACAGTCTTATTATTTTAATTTTTCAATTAAAGCTAAATAACCACATCTCCAAAGTGTTTTTTTTTTTCTAACGACATGGACGTTGCCATTAAAATAAAGGATTCAGTTTTGGGGAATTTTAGTCAACTCACTGTCATTATAATTAATTTAATTAAACCCTGTTTGTTTTCTAAAAACAAATAAAAGTTAGCTAAAGCTGATCCTTCATCATCCTACACCAGATCAATAGAATCTTTTTTTTAAAAACCTGTAAACAGAAACCTTCTAGAACATCATACATCTGATATGATCATTTGGGGTTTTGGAGCATTTTGAGGCTCAGCTTTCCTTTTTTTTTCCTCCCAGATTTGATGAATATTAAATATTTTATTATTTTTGTGCAATCTACCAAAAGTCCCTGTAAATAGTTGTGATATTTTTTAGGCCTTTTTGTATACGGGTTCAATGTGGAAGCGCTCTGTTCTGAAGCTGTAACTCATTTCCATGTGCTGTCATAACGGAGCGCAGAGCTTCTCATGTGATCCGAGTTGTTCTTTCCTGCAGGTGTGAAGCTATAAAAAAAAAAACCCAAAAGACGAAGCCTGTTGGCCACACTGTAGTCTGAATGTGTTGTTGTGAGCTCACCGAGAACATTTAACTGAGAAGGAGATCAGCAGACTTACGATGGAAGAGCACAACGTGGTGCGCACCGATGAACCAAATCCTACCTCTTGACATTTATCGAATCAGTTTGTTGTTGTAAAATCATCACCATCATCCACCCGGTTGCAGATCATTTCTGATGTCCATTAGAGCAGATTAATGATTTCTTTTTCAGTGTCTGTATTTATCTGTTTTCAATAAAAGGCCTGTTCGTTCAAATATAATGCTAATTAATTCCCCTTTCTCTGCATGAGAGGAGATATGATTTAATTGAACTTCTGATGGGACGGCTCCTGAGCTATAGATTTACAGATAATTGTGGAATCCATTGCGGATAGTTTGGTGATTGACACGTCGATCTGAACCACTGTGGGCTCGAACATATCCTGTAATTATCAGGCTTCCCTTTTGTTAAAAGACTCCGTGAGTTTCTCCTTTGGTTTCATCTGCAGCAGCTCCTTGTGCGTAAATTACGCGCGTTTTTGTGTGTGTTCGGGATTACGGGCATATTTAAAAATACTAAAACACTCATAAAATAAATTTTAAAACAAACGATAGATTAAAATACAGCCCTAGTAAATTATATATTTGATTTTATTTTCTTCTCTGCTAATTTTATACAATAATTATGCGTTTGACCTTCATTTTACGCGTTAAATATAAGCATTTTCTGATAGTTTTAAAATGTTAACTTCTAAGGAGGCTACAGCTGAAGCCTTAAATCTTAATATTAGTGCTCATTAAACCTACATAAAATTAAAAGTGGTCAATTTAATTAAGTTTTCTCCTGTGGAAGTTGTCAGAATTTCTCCTGTTTTTATTTTCCCCCTTTTTTTTCTCGTAAAAACAGTTAAATCAGTTTATTTAAAAATTAAAATTAAAAAAAGAGGTTTATTTACATGCGCAAACATGTGCGTTAATGGCTGCCTCTACAGTCAAGCTGAATATTTCCAGGAGCAAATAAATGCCGATTATGTAAACAGCTATAATTTACATTTGTTGTTTTTATTGTTTTGTTTTTTTTTCTCCTTCTCTCTGGCTGCTGCTCCTATAAATGTCTGAGATATCAAACCAGCAGAGCCTGAGTAAGTTTCTGTCATAACTGTTCCAAAGTGCGTCCAGCCTTCTCACGCATATGAAACTCTGTCCTCGCCCTCCCCCTTCTTTAACTATAAGGCAGGCCAGAGAGCCCCACAAACTTTCACTACAGCTCTGCAGAGACACTCCGGTTCTCCGCTGCTCTGCTTCGCTCTTTCTTTTTTCTTTTCTTTTTTTTCCTTTTTTCTTTTTTTTCTTTTTGCAGCCCTGCAGTCTCTCCTGAACCTCCGCAGCCTTTGGAGTTAAAAGCTGCCAACCCCTCAATTTGATTAACTTCCTGCTCAAAAGTGGAGAGAAAAAGAGAGAGGGGGGAAAAGGAAGAAATCTTTCTGCTCTAAAAAAGGCTCTCTGAGGAGCAGCGGGCAACTCCTCGTCTCTGCATAGCTTCCTAAAACTTTTTTTTGTTGTTGTTGCGTCAGATTGTCGCGCAACGTTTTTAAAACTTTTTTTGTTGTTGTTGCGTTAAAAACTCAAACTGTGCGCCGGTTAACAACACCAGAATCCATGCATGGTACGGATGGTACAAGTTTTTACGCACATCGCCGACTCTTCCCCTGATCCCTGCAGCCACCGAGCTTGGAGACACTGTACGCTGTGAGACATCCAGGGGTTCATGTACTGGAAAAATGAAGTTTTGTCCCCTCTCTCAGAGGGAAATAAGATTCTGTCCGAAGGAATCCCAACGAAGCAGGTACTGACACTTTGGAAACGGCTTCATCTTTTGTGCGTAAAAGTGATTTTCAGATCGGACTCGCGCGCCGCTTTTTTTGGGGCCTTTACTGTCTGAATGAGATGTGATGTGATGACGTCCTCCGGTGATCTAATGATGCAATAATGTGACATGATTTACCGGTTTTGTTTGATCTTCTTCCTAGAACGGATCCACAGTATGTGTGTGTGAATGTGTGTGTGTCGTTTGGGGGCCGCGAAAATGCGCATTTTCCTCGCAGCCCGCAGCGTCGCGTCGTGAGTTTTTGTTGTGTGTCCCTGTGATGTCACCAGAATCACGGACTTGTGTACTGAGATCAGCTGCACGCGCCAGCCGCCGTGAAGAGGCACGCGCCCCTCTGTTATGAATAGCGTGATTTGCGGTCCGCGAGCCTCTCGAGCGCTGCCAATTCGCCTGAAGAGAATTAGATTTTAATTACAGCCATTAAAAATCAAATTTGCAATTCTTTGGGTGACCCGTTGCCTTCCTCTGATTGACAGTTGAAATTGACACTCCGGGTCCCTCTTATCCGCAGCGTTTCAAGCTATTTGTAATTACAGGTAGTTTTTTCTTCTCTACCCCCCCTCCACCCTCCACCCTCCTCCTCCTCCAACTCTCGTGTCCTGGATTGCGGAGAAAATACTATTATTGTGAGAGGCATGGGTTAAGGGCAGGGAAAAATCAATCCAAATTGAAATAGCTTCATTAAAATGTGCCTTTTGTTGCGGGGGCCCCCTTTTAACAGCTTTAACCGGGGCTTTTATTGTCAGGACGACTTTATATAGGGAGTAGCCCTTCAAGAGCTTGTCTGCAAATGTCTCCGAAAGGATGTTTCAGCTGAGGATGAGCCGGGCAAAGTGATGAAGACGTGCCGCTCACTGACCGTTTTCTTGTAGGTGATCTCTACCGAGCATCAGAGTACACCGGGAGCCTCGCGCTGCAGTGTGGACTCTAAACACACACCAATGGTGAGAGCCTTACTGCCTCTTTATGCTTCTCTTTTTACTCAATATGTTTGGATCAATCGGTGCGCAAATTACGCGCACTGGTTGACCGTTTGGCCTTTGCGCATCCACGCCATGTGCAGAGAAAAGATCATTTTGACATTTTTGTGGGCATTTCAATAGAACACATGATGAAAAAAAATGGCGACATCTGCAAACTGGCACCGTGCTGGTGGTGCTGGTGGTGCTGGTGGAGGGCATCACAGTGTTTGTGTGTTACTCAGCTGTGCTTGGTGTCCCTCTTGCAGTCTCACTCGGACGGAGAGTCCCAGCGGTCCAACATGGAGCGGGAGGACACTCGCTCGTCTCCCAGCACTCCGTCCACTCCCTCCGTGTGCTCGCCGACCTCCACCACCAGCTCGGTTCCGTCCACCGGGAAGAACCTGTGCGCCAGCTGCGGTCTGGAGATCCTGGACAGATACTTGCTCAAGGTGAGAGGTCGAGGAGGGATGATTTATTTTTCTTCTTCTTCTGGGGGCGTCGTGCTTGTTTGTTTGCACTGTTATTTTATTTTTATTTTTAAAAATAAAAACGCGGGTGTTACCGGCGACAGCTTGTCAACACGAGACGAACCGGAGCAGGAGGCTGCCATGTTGACCCTGTGCTGTGGATTAAACGGGCCTGCTGTGGGTTTGAACTGAAAAGGTCTGCACAAGTCAAGGCGATGTTCATATTAAAGGACGCGATCTGAAGAAATATTTGGCACAAATTAAACCTCAAACCGAATAAGAAATAATTTATCGTACAATATGCAGGAAACAAACCTAAATATGCACCTCAGAGTTCAGTGTTAGAATTATTTTTGTAGTTGTGGCACAAAAAATATCGAAATAAATCAGATTTTAGATGCAAAACGTGACTGATCTCCGGCGTCAAACGTGCGTAAAGGCTCAGGAGTGAAGCGCCCGTGTGTGCGTGTGTTTTCTCAGGGCGCAGACTCAACAGGGATGTTTCGCTTCTTGTCTTGTCGCGTGCGCTCGCGTGCTCCCAATCAAAACAGTCCTTTTGTCGCGCGCAAACGTGTGTGTTTGGTCCGGAAGTGTGAAGATCATCAGTGTGTTGTCTGACTGCACTTTGTTCTCAGGCTGCAGAGTGAAAACACAGCCAGCGAGCCCTGATGGGATTTGCTGTCCTGACGCGATTTAAGCTTGAAAATATTTTTTAATTTTTAATTTAAATTAATGAAAAAAAATTGTACTTTTGTGGCCCGAGTCTACAGGGGGGTATCATCTGCAACTGTACAGATTTTCTGTTATCACATTTATTACATTTTTTTAAAAAAAATATACAAACGACTAAAATAATTTAAAAAATAACAGAACGCCTAATATTTTTTTTCGTGAACTATTAGCAGGTTAAATGTGTTTTATACTTTAAATAATAACATTTCTTGTGTGCAACCATTTTAATTCGTTTGCTGCTGTAAAAACAATAAATACTAACATGCTTGGAGAAAAAAAAATCCAGTTAAATAATTCCTGAACATCTGAGAACACTGTGATAATAAATTTCGTTTTTCTTAAAAGACCAAACTGACATCATTTTAAAATGCATTTATTCATAAAGGATGTATTTTATTGTGAACACAAACGGTTTTATTTGGGTGTGTTTTCTTTTCCCTACCGAACAAAACACATAATTCCTCTGACCGTAAATAATTACTCTCAGTTAGGAAACAGATTTTAAATCACAGCCTGTTAAATGCATTCAGGAAGCTCTGCTGTGAGCTCCAGCGGATTTCAACAGTTTGAGGACTGGTCGTTTATTCCCTCACGCCTGACAACGATTTTATTATTCTTATTTATTTAGTTTTAATAAAAGTTTTTAACTGTTGTTAAACGAAAAGTACTGCAGACAGGTTTAGAAAATAGCAGCTAAGGCCCAGACAGGACTCGCTGACATCCGGTGTTCTCAGTGTGATAATCTGATTAGAGGGCTTAAAAAAACGAATCTGAATCTGATAAGAATAATTTAATTAAATATGAGACGGTTTGTAAGGGGAAAAAACCCTCTACTATTTTTTTCAATATTACAAAATTAAAAAAAAAAAACATAAAACATCTAAATCACTTAAAGACGAATAGAATAGAATATCTTTATTTATCATTGTACGTGTACAACGAAATTGTACGCAAACCTATTCCAGTGTTATTTATAACTAGAAGCATATTGTTGAACATCTCTGTGAGGTGTTTTTGTCAGAACTATTTTAAAAGTAAAAATAGTTTTAAAAAGAGGAATATAAAGTCAATAAACACTCAGCGGTCACTTTATTAGGTACACCTGCGAAATCCAACCCAATCCAATCCAGCAGCTTCGCCATGAATTCTACTTTTACGAATCTTCTGCATTTTTATTTTGTGTTGAGGCTGTTAAAAAGGGATAATTGTACTTTATATGTAGTATTTAGGTCACAGCTGTCCAGCGTATTCCTAACATTTTACCCACCATGCCTCCACAGATGCCCACTGCTGCCTCTATTATAACTTTATTGTGTTTATTGCTATTTTTTTTTATATACGTATAAAATAAAATGTCAAATAAAAGTCAGAACGTAGAAACTACATATAATAATATTTCACAAGTGTGCCAAATAAAGTGGCGGTGAGTGTAAACAAGAAAAGAAAAGAGCAACTTTATCGGCCTTGCTTTCTCTTTTGAGGAAATTAGCCGAAGTGCGCATGCGCACCACACAGAGCTAATTTACTACATAATATCGGCGGTAATTAAAAATAACTCCACCGCCGTTTATCAACGCAGGGCTACTCTGTGAGTCCATAAAGCGGTGCGTGTTTTTGTTAATCGGTGTGTGTGTGCGTGTGTGTGTGTGTGTGTCACGGTTGGTGTGTGTTTGCAGGTGAACAACCTGATCTGGCACGTGCGCTGTCTGGAGTGCTCAGTGTGCAGGACGTCGCTGCGTCAACACAGCAGCTGCTACATCAAGAACAAAGAGATCTTCTGTAAAATGGATTATTTCAGGTAGGGTAAGTCTGCGGCGCTGCTTTCAAAATAACACGTCCTCTCTCTGGAAACACGGAGCTCTCTCTCTCTCTCTCTCTCTCTCTCTCTCTCTCTCTCTCACACACACACACACACACACACACACTGTGCAAAGCATGTGGGCTGCCTCATGTGTTCCTGAAAAGGTCTTTTCAAAAAAACTGAAAGTGTGTAACAAAATAGAAGTCTGTACCTACAGTGAAGAGCTGAAAGATCTGCAGTTTTGTTATGGCTATCCACAACACAGCATCTCCAGACACCAGACAAAAAGACACACACACACATACCACACACACACACACACACACACACACACACACACACACACACACACACACACACACAAAGAATCTGCAGCACCACTACAGTCTGGGAAAATTGGCTCTAAAAAAAAATAAAAGCTTAAAAAGTGCTGTTTGGAGGTGAGGTTCTAGACTATTTTGAGATCATATCTGTTTTTTAAATGGCATATTTGGCCAAAATAAGTGTTTCAGTATTTGTGTGTGCTGAGTTAAAGGTGGTGCTCTCTTATCACACACACAGCTGGAAGAGCTGCGCTATCAGATGGAGAGAAAAATCATTGGAAATTCCAGTTTAAGTGTGTTCCAATCTGAGTTTAGTCGCTCCTTATGGGCAAACAATACAAAAAATGTACCCTGAACATCGAACCAACAGAGCGGGAAAAATGCCCTTAAATTTATTGTAGTATTTTCTATTCTATTCCTTTTAAACTCTGTTAAAGGCCTGGATCTGTTAGCAAGAGCACCAACCTCATCAATGTATATATAATAATACAGTCCATGTTATTTAATTTTAGAGCATCAAATGTAATAATATCAACAATAAGAAATTAAAAATTTGATGTATTTACCATTTGAAATTAATTCACCATATATGTTAGAAATACAAATTCTACATTTTATTCAGAGTAAAGGTTTTAATTTACATTTATGCAACGTGGAGACCAAAAGACGTCCAGTGGTCAGTGTTGTCGCTCAGGGTTTTTAAACACTTTATCAATCGTGTATGTGTGTGTGTGTGTGTGTGTCCTAATAAGTGATTCAAAGATATAAAAGTGTGTGTGTGTGTGTGTGGTACCTGAGGTTAAACGGGGTTCACATCAACTAAAGCAAAGTTAAAATTCGGTTCAGTAGCCTGAAGCTCTCAGAGACACACGTGCCCATTTGTGCTTAACGCTGTGTGTGTGTGTGTGTGTGTGTTTATGTGTGTGTGAGAGAGAGAGAGTTTTGGTGTTCGTCTGATCAAAACCTGACACCACGCCGTCGCTCTGAGGTTTATAATCACCAGCAATTAGTTGTCCTCCACCCCAGAACCCTCAGGCCTCCAGACCAGCAATTAGACCGCCCCGAGTGCCTGGTCAGCATGTTTTCTGATCTGAAAGTGACTCCTATCCAAACTTCAAAACTTACGCAGCAACACAGATACATGCACACAGATAAACATACTTATAATGTGCAATATGAAAACATTTAACATTTACGAGCACATAATCTTCTTTTTTACACACACAGTCACACAGTCACACACACACACACAGATTTCTGTTTATTTATGCATGTCTTGCAGCTGCCAATCATTTCCCTCGTTTTTTTTTTTTTTCCTTCACAAAATGGAGACTTTTGTGTTTGCTCTGCCACACCAAACTAATATTTTAACTGACCCGTCTGCATTTAAACGCTGCCTCGGGGTTCACCTCTCTCACCCTCCAGCGCTGCACTCTGCTCCGTGCCTTTTAAATATTCCACAGCATCAGCTTTTGCGAAACTGGCAGCGAACAGGACAGACGGAGCTGATGCAGAATTACAGGGTTTTTACAGGGACCTCGGCTGTTTTCGTTCGCAGTGATGGAATTTGGCTGTAAAGTGGAGTTTCGGTGAATTGTTGTAGTTTTTCTGTGTGTGAAGCAATCAGCACCTCACTGTCGTCCAATCACAGTTGCTTTAATTATTACTTTAGCCCGAGTTAATACACGCTGATGCCTTTAGTTGTTGTTGCTCTGCAGCCCAAACCCGGCCATGTTGGTTTTACTATGATAGAAAACTGGCAAATATTTGAGAAGCTGGTACTGTTGCCATTTCTTTTTTTTTAAATGAATAATGACCTCAACGATTCATCAATATTGCTGCCAGTTTATTCTCTGTTAACTAAACATTTGAGCTCCAGAGTGCTGCTCGCTTTCTGTTTGCATGACAAAATAAATAAATGGCTGTGTTCTTACAGTGAAGGTCAACAGGGGCCTCTGTGAGCTTCAGCATGGAGGCAGTGAAGCTACATTAAAATCACATATAAATATATATATGGCATAATTGTCTTGATTTATTTATTCAGTTCGACTTGAAAACTGAGAACCTGTTTTGCTTTTGGACACTGCGCTTGTAAAAATCAGTTGTTTATCTTAGAGAAGCTTTCCTAATCGTGCAGTTATTCCTTTTTGCCTTCGTAACACAGTACAACTCAGCACTTTGTCCTAATTTATCTTAATGTTTTATATTTTCTGATGAATAACATAAGCTATAATTGTTTGTATGCGTTTTATACGTCTGTTGATTTTACAAGATGTAAGTTTAATGCTTTCAAAAGTCATAAGAGGGAAAAATAAGTGTGTAACAAGTGTTATCTAAAGACGGATAAGACAAGCAAAGTAGGAATACATTTGATTTGATAATGACTGACACACTATTGCAAACAGAGGAGTTTATATTCCACAAACTTTGGAAGAAAATCTTAATTTGCATGTTAATATTTTTAGGGTTAAGATTGTCCATGTCAGTCACTCTGAGAGTTTTTATTTTTTTTATATAAATGGCGCAGTAACAGTGCAGCTCTCCTGCCGGGCCGAGGCCTTTGGTTCCTTCTGCAAATATAAACTGTAATCTGGGTTTAGGCCAGATTTAAACTGGGCTAAACACCGCTGAGAGTCCAGATCCTCTGGGCTGGTTTCAAAAAAACCTCTGGAGATATTTCCTCATCTGTGTCAGCCTCTCATCTGGCTTTGGACTGACAGCTGCTTTAATGGGGCGTAATAGCAGGAAATCAGAGCGGGTTTCCCTCCGTGTACATGTGTATGTGTGTGCTGGGCCGGGCCGGGCCGGGGTGGGGGGGCTGCAGGACAGAGCCCCCGCTGTGCCTCTCAAACCCACGTCAGGCCTCAGGGGTTTGCTCTCTCTCATTCACACACACACACACACATGCAAACCTTTTCTTTATCAGCCTCCCCCTCCCCTCCCCTCTCCGTAGAAACCTCATCCACGTCCGTGAGCTGCAGGCCACACGGGAAGCTGCACTGCTGCACTAATCAGGGGCACCCTGGGATACTCGCACTGTAACCAGAGTCCATGCATGCGTAGGGGGGGAACTTCGTGGGTGCACATGTGGATGCATACGTGTCTCTTTATACATCATTCCTCTAATAATAATTATTCCTCAACCACCCACCTCTGGTTAGCTGATTAGGTCACCATAGCAACAAAGGCAAGCAGCCGGTACAGAGGGAATGATTTGAGTTTTTATTAAGAACTGAATTAATTAAAAATTATAATGCGACATCTGTCACACACACACACACACACACACACACAGGCTGCTTAGTTAAAGCTCAGAGATACATCGTGCTGAAAATCAGACCGACTATTACAAAGAAATATAAAAAAGGAGAGAGTATTTTTAGTTGTTGTTGCAGAGTTGATCTATTAAAGCCTCATAATATGTCCATAAAAAGATCCCTGTACTGTAATCCCAACAGGAACCGCTTGTCTCCAAACCACACACCTCTCTTAGGACAAATCGAATAGAGATTACTGTATTCTCACAGCACATCAGAAATAATCCAAAAAACATGTACCTCCTCGAGCCCCCTCTTTCAGCAGCAGGTGAATTAATGTGAAAAAAAAAATAAAGTGATGAAAGTAAAGGGAGCAAATAGGAGGAGTCTGGGCTAAGAAGGCAGTTCAGGATTCCTCATAGGCATAGCTCCAAAATAAACATCAGGTTTTTGGTTCAAAACAAAATAAAAAAAAGTACAGAGAGGAAGAAGGAGGAGGAGGGAGGGGATGAAGATAGAGGAGGAAGGAGGAAGGAGGAGGAGGAGGAGGGTCAAGAAGAAGGGATGATTTGCAGCTTTTCTGGGTTTTGTCTCGGAGCATGAAACTGACAAGCTGTCATGCCGGATTAGCCGCAATGCTCCGCAAATGTTTTCCTCTTTACTGTAGGAACCGGCTGGAATTCTCCATAACAGTCGGCGTGCACACTGTACGGCGAACCGCGGAGTCGATTTGTCTCTGGAATGGCTTTATTGGTTTATAAGCTGAGCATATCTGCGACAGCTCAAGCTCTCAGTAGGTGCCATGCGAGGCCGAGGTCAGCGGGAGGACTCGTTCTGGTGGTTTTACTGCTTTAATGCTGCTTGTTTGTTGTGATACTGCAGCTGGTAAAAGAAAAAAAAATCAGATGTGCTGTTTTCATTCAGTATCGATTGTAAAAAAATAAAAAAGCTAGGATGTGATAGATGCAGAATGGTCTGATCCTAACGATGATGACCTGTGAGTCATCTCCACGTGAGCTGAAGGTGAAGCTTGCGGCCGACGAGCTCACACACATAAGCAGGGCTACCGGCTTGTGAGATGTCAGGGCTATAGCATGCTTTCATCCTAGATAGAGTGGACTCGAGTGCACTGATTCGCTGCCAAACCCCCTCACTTGGCAGCCCTCTTGCTCTCCTGCACCCCCGTCCTCCTGCTCTCTCTCTGCCATTGATGCTCTCTACTTTGCCATTTCCTTCGGCACTACAGCCCCTCTGCCTCTGTCACTTACCTCCCCTCTCCATGTCTATTCTTTTCCCTGCTCGCTCTCCTCACCGGGGTTTTATTGACCTCTGCTTGTTTGTGGGTTTTTATCGCTGCTCAGGTTGAGTAATAAAGAAAAAGCTGCACGTATTAGTAAGATAATGTTTCTAATTTATGTAAAAGTGGAAAATAAATCTGTATATGACAATGTAGCACCATGAGGGAGCACTTTCTCTCAGCCTCCTTCACCAGAATTGGCAGCTGCTGACCCCGACGATGGCTCTTGACCCGACCACAGCCGTCTCAAACCAAAAGAGTTTTACGCCTATCAAAACCCATAATGTGCTCCTTAAACCAGAATCTCTTTTTTTCATGTAAAACCGGGAAATTGTTTAATATTTCATTGAAGTGGAGGCTTATTTGGATTCTCCGCATCGCCAGCTTGTTCAGTAAAAGCCTGATCTCAGCTGAAGGATGAGTCTAATAAATTTTTTTTTCTTTTTATTGGATTTCCAACAAATCCAATAAAAAACCCCAAATTCAACAATGAATCAATCCAATCTAACGAGCATCGTCTGTGGTGGATTATTTCTCTGGGTCATGAAGCTCCATTGTTGTTCCGCTAAACAGTCATTTTACTTTCGCTGTAATCAGTAAAACATCAAATCTGGATCGGGCCTCAAAATAGTCTCCATCAAAAGCATGATTTACTTCTGCTTGAGTCAAATTTGGACTATTTTTGCTCTAATTTTTTTTGAGAATTAGTGCCACCGACATGATAAGGAAGTTAAGTGAAGGCTAAAGCATCACTGGATTTTCTCTTTTCATGGGATTAGTTGACGGTTTAACAACTTTCTCAGACTAACCCTTGAAGAAATACAACTGTTTTGCTTTTCTTCTTTGCCCTAATGTTCTAAAGTTCTGTCTGTAATGACCACGAAATGTTTAAAATGAGCACAGAAAGTATTGTTTTAGACATTTTCATCTCATTTTTTTTTGCTAATTCTTGAGGAATCTACTCCCAGCCTCTCTCTTTCTACTGACCATTTATCTCCCATCCTCTCTCTGTGCCCCTCAACTCCCCCCCTCTTCAACCAACCACCCATCCAGAACAGTAAGTCAGGTGGTTTGGGTTTATTCGCCGCCGACCTCACGGTTGCTATCAGTTACAGCGGGGCGATCTCGAATGATGTCATCCGAGTCTGTCTTTCACCGTGTGCAAACCCACCCCTGGTTTACGTGTGCGCCGGTTCGCTCCTTGGCCTTTGTGTGTGTGTGTGTGTGTGTGTGTGTGTGTGTGTGTGTACATGTCAGGGCCTTCATGCATCAGTCAGGAAATTGCAGGTGTTGGTTTGTTTGCATTCAAGGCTCAGCTTGCAGCCGCACTCAGGAGTCTTTTCTGAAAGCCATATCCTCCTCCAAGGTTTCTTCCTTGAAGCCTTTGAGTTCTGCCAGAACCTCAAGTTGAAAAACACCTACTTTCAAGTTTATTTCACTTAGATAGTCCCAAAGAAAAGGAGTGTGTAATTTTCTATCTGCTATCTAAGACGTAAAAGGCGACGGTTTCCTCTCTCAAACGTGGCTCTCATTCCTCATTGTGTTTCTCCCTCCGACTTCCCTGCCTCTGTCTTTCTCTTCTTCTCTCCCTCACAGTAGGTTTGGTACTAAGTGTGCCCGCTGTGGGCGGCAGATATACGCCAGCGACTGGGTGCGCCGCGCCAGGGGAAATGCGTACCACTTGGCGTGCTTCGCCTGCTACTCGTGCAAGAGGCAGCTGTCCACGGGAGAGGAGTTCGGTTTGGTGGAGGACAAGGTCTTGTGCAGGATCCACTACGACACCATGGTGGAGAACCTCAAACGAGCAGCTGAGAGCGGTGAGTAGCAGCAGCGGTTCTTGGTGGTGACTCTCAGAAACAGGATTCGTCCAAGGTTGTGCACACGAGAGCAGAATATTCATATTTGAAAGGCATTATTTCTTGTTTTAACCAATACTAATGTTTGGATTATTGATATCTATTAGATTTGGCTCCTTCAGTCAGTATTTCTCAGTGGTTTCATACCCACAGGATTAACAAGTCGTGCTACGGGAGCTCAGGATTCAACCATGTCTTTCAAATTTGGGTCCCAGCTGAGGCAACAAATATCCTCAAGTCCCCTTTACGACGCAGTGTCCAAGTCTTGTGGTTTAACTGTGTTTCCTGACATCTGTAGCCACTCTGAATTATCGCACAGTTCATCTGATTTGCATCTCAAATCTCCGTGTTTTTCAGGCAACGGCATCACATTAGAAGGCGCAGTTCCAACAGAACAAGACAGTCAACCCAAACCGGCCAAAAGGGCGCGGACGTCCTTCACCGCGGAACAGCTACAAGTAATCGTACATCTTATGTTGTGAACGTGTACCTGAACTCCACATACAGTACTCCATGCTTTCTCTAATGGACTAGTTCTGAGCTGCAGCTGATTTTGATATGTTGTGCAGATCATGCAGGCGCAGTTTGCTCAGGACAACAACCCAGATGCCCAGACGCTACAGAAGCTAGCCGACATGACCGGCCTGAGCAGGAGAGTTATACAGGTCAGTAAGATCACACTCTCTGATCTGCTAATCAATAGCTCAACTCTGCAAACATCTAACTCTCGATTCCAAACTGCACGAATGAATGGATAAAAGTACCCGTCAGCAGTAAAATGTGACATATTGCCAAATATATTTTCACAGATTTTGTCTCTCATCTTGAAATAAATCAACAAATTCAATTTCAAGAATATAGCTACATGATGTCTGGTTACATTGCATCTTCATAGGTGTGGTTTCAAAACTGCAGAGCAAGACATAAAAAGCACACGCCCCAGCACAGTGGGGCTTCCCAAGGTCACCCTCAGTCCAGGATCCCCTCGTCGCTGCCCGATGAGCTGCATTACTCCCCCTTTGGCAGTCCCGAGCGAGCGCGCATGGTGGCCCTGCACGGCTACATCGACAGTGAGTGACTGCTTTAAACTTATTCCAGTGACTGTTGGTTATGTTTTTCTAAGACGTTTGTAAGCTGGATTGTTTTTTGCTAATTAATTTTTTTGTGTGTGTTTTTCAGGTCATCCGTTCTCCGTCCTGACCTCTCAGAGCCTCCCTCACCAGGCCATGTCGCTGCCCCAGCTCCCCCTCAGCCGCTAGTCCCTCACCTCGACCCCTCGCGACCTCCCCCCTCCTCCTCCTCCCCCTCCCCTAACCTCCGGACCCTCACCCTTGATCTCCCATCTGCGGCCGACCCGACTCGAAAGGTTCAGGCAGGAGTCAACTCGGAGAAAAAGACTAATCTTACAGGAGCCCTGCCCACTTGGAAACAGAAAAGAGACAAAAAAAACTGAGATACATCTGTCGTTGTGTTCTTTTCTTTCTGGGGACAGGAATATCTCACCTGCAGCCAGTTTCTCAGAAATGATTGTGAAGCGTTTATCATTAGCAGGAACTCACAGACTGTGATTTTACACCACCTGACGGACCCATTTTTGCTTCACGTGTACAGCGTCGCTCTGCTCTTCTTGCCCGCCTTCTCGCTCGAAGGTGACGGGAGTTTTTAAAGGGATCAAACAGACCGAGGAAGCAGGACTGAAGCTTCTCGAGTGCCGTCAGAATACTGAAGATAAAATTAAAAGGGGGACCCGTCATTGCGGCCCGAGGGCCAGGCGCACACACACTAGACCACAGTAGAGGTAAGACTCCTCCCTCTTTTCTCTCTAAGCAACCATGAAGGAAACCTAAATGTAAACAAAATACTTTGATTGTTGAGATTTTTTTTTTTTTTTTCCCGGAATGACATTTTGACTGTATGACATCTCAAAAAAACAGAAACTTCCCACTTTGATTTTATGGTAAAATGATCCAGAATTCGATTTTTGTTGAAGAATAAAAACATTATGTGCCTTATCTTGTATTATTAATAGAAATTAAATGGATTATTATACATTAAACAATGATTTGGGTGTTTTTAAATGGAAATACAGATGGAGAAATTCAACGTATAATTCCAAAATCGCTAAACAGATTTTGCAGTTTATCATGAAGTAAAACCACAAAACTCAACATTGGAGCTCGTGTATTAATAAATAACAGCTCTAACATTAGAATCAGGTGTGAACAGAACGGAGGGAAGTCTGAGATGAGCATACTAGTCAATCTGACATGTTACATATTTTCACATTTCCAAACAGGTGTATTGTCACTAATTTATAATTTATAAGGTTGCCTGTTGGGAAAATGGAGTTTTGGTACAATACGGACAATATAAAACTAGACTGGGTTTGTACATAGTAAGACGTATGTGTGTGTGTGTTTCCGTGTGCGTGCGTATGTGTGTGTATTGGCAGGGGTAGAGAGTGTGCATCTGTATTTTAGTGCCATGGCCATTGTGTGAAGAACAGGATCCAACAAGACCTCAATGTCCTTGTATTTATTGAGATGGTTAAATCCCTGTAAAGCACTTTTTTCCCCCCTCCTCTTCTGAAATTGTTTTGTTTTGTTAAAAAAACATGAAATGAAACAAAAAAGTTTATTTGATAGACTGTGCATCATAAATGTTTTGTGTAATAAAATGCAATAAAATAGAATGTGATATTTTTGTGGGTTTGGGTCATTTCTGAGGATTAACAATAGCGAAGCACAAAGCACAGAAATAAAGGGGCACGGCGGTTAAATTAGGCTTAAATGAAAATACAACCAATAATGCTGCATATTCCATGTGTGTGTTTTCTTGACATGATGTACTGCATGTTTGTGCTTCTGGCTTTGTGTTTTGTTTTCTTATTGTGGGTGTGTATTTGTGCTGAAATCTGTGTGTCGTCCCAGTGTGTGTGTGCATGGTTTGTGAATGTGTGCATCATGAGGAGGACTTCATTTGCCTTTAAAAGACTTCATGCATTATTCATTTTATTTATTAAACGTCATCTCGTAAAGTTAGTCAAAGAGGCTCGATCCATTAAAGGAAACATGATCGTCACTCAGCAGACCAGCGCTCTGTAAACGTTACCTGCACGTTAGGCACAGATATTATGTTTTGTTTTTAATCGCTTATCTTAAACAATGACTTTAACTTGGAAACTTTTCATTAACAATGCCCCGTTTTAATTTAAAACACAGCATATTATTTTATTTACTCACATATGTGTTATGATTGACACTTTTTAGGTTCATACTTTGAATATTATCTATACCTTTGTGCCCTATAATCTTCCTAAACTGCATCAGAACTGCCCTCAAAACATATATTTATGTAGGACAAACCCCAGCCCACTCTGCTTTTACATTTGCATTTATTGCAGCCGTGTCAATTTTGTTACAGGGAATGGAAATTTGTCGTATAATAAGGTTAAAACCAAAATAGCACGGTGGGTTGGACAGCATATATTATTAGACTTTTGACCCAGTTGGAAGCTGATTGCCTATTTAGAACGAATGCTTCTGGGTGGTATGTGATATAATGATTCCACGATCAAAACAAGCAAAGTAAAAACTTCAATCAAACTGCGAGAAAGCCTCGATATATACCGTGTTGCCTGTAAATTGATTGTAAATCCTTTTAGCCTATTTCTCTAAAACACACCGACACACATTATTATGGAAATGAAGGTAAACACACAGGAAGGCAGCCATTGCAACTCCTAGAACACATGTACAGCAAGAGGGAAGACAGATTTAAAGGAAAAAAAATCTTCTTTTGCTTTTTACTCACTGCGTCTTATGGCTAGAAATACAAAGTGCTGTTTATTTGGTGCTGCTCTCTTCAGATTTGGCTACGACAGATTTTTCCGGATCAACGCCAACAACCTCATCCCAGGCCTTCCGACAAGTCCGCACAATCCACTCGTGTTCGGAGTCGTCTGTCAGAAAGATTCAGTTGGAGATTATTGAGAATTTTTGTTGATGGTGCTGCAAACAAAGTCTGGAGTGAAAGTGTTGAGCTTAAATAAAAACACACAAATACAAACCTAAAATGAGCAAAGCAAGAAGCTCTGTTTTTTTGTTGTTTTTTTTTGGTCGAACTCACTTAAAGCGTTTAAATTAAACGTCTAACAACCTGCATAATTAAACCGCAGGTCATTTTTTTTGGGGTGTGAGGCTGCAGCAGTGAAGTGCCATTATTCAGGTCTCGGGTTTAAATTCGTCAAAGCAAGATAAGCCTGACAATTAGCAGAAAATAACTTCTTAGAGCCACTTCAGACACCGATAAATAATAACCTCCCCAAAAATGGACTCCAATCTCTCCTTTTTTTTTTTGGTTGTTGTTTTTTTTTTTCCTTTAAAACCCCAAAAGACTGCCAGAGGAGCTGATAATAAACCAGTTTTTCGTTGTTAAAAACTGAAATGAGTAGCTAATTGCAGGGGAAGTGAGCTTTCTCTGGAGCGCGCGCAGCTGCACGCACTTGAGCGGCTCGCGGGGGCCTCACCCCCAGGTTCCACTGCTTGGTGGGGCTCCATTGTACAGAGGAGCAGGTCTGCGGCTCTCGGACTGATTGTGTGTAATTGCCAGCGATGGGCGTCAACACTAACAGCCACTTCAAGTATATAGCCTAACATCCCCCCCTCTCTCCCCTACTGCCTCACCCTCTCTCTCTCCCTTTCTCTGCCTGTGTCTCCTTTTCTACCTGAGGTCAATTGAACGCACCGGACACGAGGACAGCTGCCATGGCAAACATTTCGCACCCAGTCTTTGTGGCGCATTTGTACGCAGAAAAGGTAATTATTGAAGCCTATATCCTATCATTGTGTTGCCATGAAACACGCTGACCTCAATTAACCACGATCCGCAACCTGCCTTAATGATGATTAGATTGGGACGTTTTCATATTTGCTGTAATTCTGCCCTCTTCAGATTGTGTGGCAGCGTTTATCTGGGGATTTAAGTCACGTGTAATTGGTACCTTGAGTTATCTGGGGGGGCACAGGTGGCCCGTGTGTTGTCTCCTGCAGTCTGAGGGCAGCAGGACATTTCTGGGATTTAGGTTTAACAGTCGGTAAACTAAGGGCTGCTGGATGTTGGGGGGAAAATGGTGATATTTTACTTCTGCAACATATATTGTGACATGAAAAAATACAGAAATTTTCATCTGATGGCTTGAAAAACTCTATGTGGAAAGAATTATTACTTCTAGAAGGACTAGAGTGATTTTGTAGGGTAGTGCATCTGCATCAAAAGTAATAAATAATTTACAAAAAAGCAAAATAAGAAGCTGTTCTGAACCTCTTCATGTAGCACAACCCTGTCAAAAGCATCCTTTTTTTTGCTTTGGGTTGTATTCAGATCTGCATCCCTCATACAGAACTCTGTGNGAGAGAGAGAGTTTTGGTGTTCGTCTGATCAAAACCTGACACCACGCCGTCGCTCTGAGGTTTATAATCACCAGCAATTAGTTGTCCTCCACCCCAGAACCCTCAGGCCTCCAGACCAGCAATTAGACCGCCCCGAGTGCCTGGTCAGCATGTTTTCTGATCTGAAAGTGACTCCTATCCAAACTTCAAAACTTACGCAGCAACACAGATACATGCACACAGATAAACATACTTATAATGTGCAATATGAAAACATTTAACATTTACGAGCACATAATCTTCTTTTTTACACACACAGTCACACAGTCACACACACACACACAGATTTCTGTTTATTTATGCATGTCTTGCAGCTGCCAATCATTTCCCTCGTTTTTTTTTTTTTTCCTTCACAAAATGGAGACTTTTGTGTTTGCTCTGCCACACCAAACTAATATTTTAACTGACCCGTCTGCATTTAAACGCTGCCTCGGGGTTCACCTCTCTCACCCTCCAGCGCTGCACTCTGCTCCGTGCCTTTTAAATATTCCACAGCATCAGCTTTTGCGAAACTGGCAGCGAACAGGACAGACGGAGCTGATGCAGAATTACAGGGTTTTTACAGGGACCTCGGCTGTTTTCGTTCGCAGTGATGGAATTTGGCTGTAAAGTGGAGTTTCGGTGAATTGTTGTAGTTTTTCTGTGTGTGAAGCAATCAGCACCTCACTGTCGTCCAATCACAGTTGCTTTAATTATTACTTTAGCCCGAGTTAATACACGCTGATGCCTTTAGTTGTTGTTGCTCTGCAGCCCAAACCCGGCCATGTTGGTTTTACTATGATAGAAAACTGGCAAATATTTGAGAAGCTGGTACTGTTGCCATTTCTTTTTTTTTAAATGAATAATGACCTCAACGATTCATCAATATTGCTGCCAGTTTATTCTCTGTTAACTAAACATTTGAGCTCCAGAGTGCTGCTCGCTTTCTGTTTGCATGACAAAATAAATAAATGGCTGTGTTCTTACAGTGAAGGTCAACAGGGGCCTCTGTGAGCTTCAGCATGGAGGCAGTGAAGCTACATTAAAATCACATATAAATATATATATATGGCATAATTGTCTTGATTTATTTATTCAGTTCGACTTGAAAACTGAGAACCTGTTTTGCTTTTGGACACTGCACTTGTAAAAATCTGCTGTTTATCTTAAAGAAGCTTTCCTAATCGTGCAGTTATTCCTTTTTGCCTTCGTAACACAGTACAACTCAGCACTTTGTCCTAATTTATCTTAATGTTTTATATTTTCTGATGAATAACATAAGCTATAATTGTTTGTATGCGTTTTATACGTCTGTTGATTTTACAAGATGTAAGTTTAATGCTTTCAAAAGTCATAAGAGGGAAAAATAAGTGTGTAACAAGTGTTATCTAAAGACGGATAAGACAAGCAAAGTAGGAATACATTTGATTTGATAATGACTGACACACTATTGCAAACAGAGGAGTTTATATTCCACAAACTTTGGAAGAAAATCTTAATTTGCATGTTAATATTTTTAGGGTTAAGATTGTCCATGTCAGTCACTCTGAGAGTTTTTATTTTTTTTATATAAATGGCGCAGTAACAGTGCAGCTCTCCTGCCGGGCCGAGGCCTTTGGTTCCTTCTGCAAATATAAACTGTAATCTGGGTTTAGGCCAGATTTAAACTGGGCTAAACACCGCTGAGAGTCCAGATCCTCTGGGCTGGTTTCAAAAAAACCTCTGGAGATATTTCCTCATCTGTGTCAGCCTCTCATCTGGCTTTGGACTGACAGCTGCTTTAATGGGGCGTAATAGCAGGAAATCAGAGCGGGTTTCCCTCCGTGTACATGTGTATGTGTGTGCTGGGCCGGGCCGGGCCGGGGTGGGGGGGCTGCAGGACAGAGCCCCCGCTGTGCCTCTCAAACCCACGTCAGGCCTCAGGGGTTTGCTCTCTCTCATTCACACACACACACACACATGCAAACCTTTTCTTTATCAGCCTCCCCCTCCCCTCCCCTCTCCGTAGAAACCTCATCCACGTCCGTGAGCTGCAGGCCACACGGGAAGCTGCACTGCTGCACTAATCAGGGGCACCCTGGGATACTCGCACTGTAACCAGAGTCCATGCATGCGTAGGGGGGGAACTTCGTGGGTGCACATGTGGATGCATACGTGTCTCTTTATACATCATTCCTCTAATAATAATTATTCCTCAACCACCCACCTCTGGTTAGCTGATTAGGTCACCATAGCAACAAAGGCAAGCAGCCGGTACAGAGGGAATGATTTGAGTTTTTATTAAGAACTGAATTAATTAAAAATTATAATGCGACATCTGTCACACACACACACACACACACACACACAGGCTGCTTAGTTAAAGCTCAGAGATACATCGTGCTGAAAATCAGACCGACTATTACAAAGAAATATAAAAAAGGAGAGAGTATTTTTAGTTGTTGTTGCAGAGTTGATCTATTAAAGCCTCATAATATGTCCATAAAAAGATCCCTGTACTGTAATCCCAACAGGAACCGCTTGTCTCCAAACCACACACCTCTCTTAGGACAAATCGAATAGAGATTACTGTATTCTCACAGCACATCAGAAATAATCCAAAAAACATGTACCTCCTCGAGCCCCCTCTTTCAGCAGCAGGTGAATTAATGTGAAAAAAAAAATAAAGTGATGAAAGTAAAGGGAGCAAATAGGAGGAGTCTGGGCTAAGAAGGCAGTTCAGGATTCCTCATAGGCATAGCTCCAAAATAAACATCAGGTTTTTGGTTCAAAACAAAATAAAAAAAAGTACAGAGAGGAAGAAGGAGGAGGAGGGAGGGGATGAAGATAGAGGAGGAAGGAGGAAGGAGGAGGAGGAGGAGGGTCAAGAAGAAGGGATGATTTGCAGCTTTTCTGGGTTTTGTCTCGGAGCATGAAACTGACAAGCTGTCATGCCGGATTAGCCGCAATGCTCCGCAAATGTTTTCCTCTTTACTGTAGGAACCGGCTGGAATTCTCCATAACAGTCGGCGTGCACACTGTACGGCGAACCGCGGAGTCGATTTGTCTCTGGAATGGCTTTATTGGTTTATAAGCTGAGCATATCTGCGACAGCTCAAGCTCTCAGTAGGTGCCATGCGAGGCCGAGGTCAGCGGGAGGACTCGTTCTGGTGGTTTTACTGCTTTAATGCTGCTTGTTTGTTGTGATACTGCAGCTGGTAAAAGAAAAAAAAATCAGATGTGCTGTTTTCATTCAGTATCGATTGTAAAAAAATAAAAAAGCTAGGATGTGATAGATGCAGAATGGTCTGATCCTAACGATGATGACCTGTGAGTCATCTCCACGTGAGCTGAAGGTGAAGCTTGCGGCCGACGAGCTCACACACATAAGCAGGGCTACCGGCTTGTGAGATGTCAGGGCTATAGCATGCTTTCATCCTAGATAGAGTGGACTCGAGTGCACTGATTCGCTGCCAAACCCCCTCACTTGGCAGCCCTCTTGCTCTCCTGCACCCCCGTCCTCCTGCTCTCTCTCTGCCATTGATGCTCTCTACTTTGCCATTTCCTTCGGCACTACAGCCCCTCTGCCTCTGTCACTTACCTCCCCTCTCCATGTCTATTCTTTTCCCTGCTCGCTCTCCTCACCGGGGTTTTATTGACCTCTGCTTGTTTGTGGGTTTTTATCGCTGCTCAGGTTGAGTAATAAAGAAAAAGCTGCACGTATTAGTAAGATAATGTTTCTAATTTATGTAAAAGTGGAAAATAAATCTGTATATGACAATGTAGCACCATGAGGGAGCACTTTCTCTCAGCCTCCTTCACCAGAATTGGCAGCTGCTGACCCCGACGATGGCTCTTGACCCGACCACAGCCGTCTCAAACCAAAAGAGTTTTACGCCTATCAAAACCCATAATGTGCTCCTTAAACCAGAATCTCTTTTTTTCATGTAAAACCGGGAAATTGTTTAATATTTCATTGAAGTGGAGGCTTATTTGGATTCTCCGCATCGCCAGCTTGTTCAGTAAAAGCCTGATCTCAGCTGAAGGATGAGTCTAATAAATTTTTTTTTCTTTTTATTGGATTTCCAACAAATCCAATAAAAAACCCCAAATTCAACAATGAATCAATCCAATCTAACGAGCATCGTCTGTGGTGGATTATTTCTCTGGGTCATGAAGCTCCATTGTTGTTCCGCTAAACAGTCATTTTACTTTCGCTGTAATCAGTAAAACATCAAATCTGGATCGGGCCTCAAAATAGTCTCCATCAAAAGCATGATTTACTTCTGCTTGAGTCAAATTTGGACTATTTTTGCTCTAATTTTTTTTGAGAATTAGTGCCACCGACATGATAAGGAAGTTAAGTGAAGGCTAAAGCATCACTGGATTTTCTCTTTTCATGGGATTAGTTGACGGTTTAACAACTTTCTCAGACTAACCCTTGAAGAAATACAACTGTTTTGCTTTTCTTCTTTGCCCTAATGTTCTAAAGTTCTGTCTGTAATGACCACGAAATGTTTAAAATGAGCACAGAAAGTATTGTTTTAGACATTTTCATCTCATTTTTTTTTGCTAATTCTTGAGGAATCTACTCCCAGCCTCTCTCTTTCTACTGACCATTTATCTCCCATCCTCTCTCTGTGCCCCTCAACTCCCCCCCTCTTCAACCAACCACCCATCCAGAACAGTAAGTCAGGTGGTTTGGGTTTATTCGCCGCCGACCTCACGGTTGCTATCAGTTACAGCGGGGCGATCTCGAATGATGTCATCCGAGTCTGTCTTTCACCGTGTGCAAACCCACCCCTGGTTTACGTGTGCGCCGGTTCGCTCCTTGGCCTTTGTGTGTGTGTGTGTGTGTGTGTGTGTGTGTGTGTGTGTACATGTCAGGGCCTTCATGCATCAGTCAGGAAATTGCAGGTGTTGGTTTGTTTGCATTCAAGGCTCAGCTTGCAGCCGCACTCAGGAGTCTTTTCTGAAAGCCATATCCTCCTCCAAGGTTTCTTCCTTGAAGCCTTTGAGTTCTGCCAGAACCTCAAGTTGAAAAACACCTACTTTCAAGTTTATTTCACTTAGATAGTCCCAAAGAAAAGGAGTGTGTAATTTTCTATCTGCTATCTAAGACGTAAAAGGCGACGGTTTCCTCTCTCAAACGTGGCTCTCATTCCTCATTGTGTTTCTCCCTCCGACTTCCCTGCCTCTGTCTTTCTCTTCTTCTCTCCCTCACAGTAGGTTTGGTACTAAGTGTGCCCGCTGTGGGCGGCAGATATACGCCAGCGACTGGGTGCGCCGCGCCAGGGGAAATGCGTACCACTTGGCGTGCTTCGCCTGCTACTCGTGCAAGAGGCAGCTGTCCACGGGAGAGGAGTTCGGTTTGGTGGAGGACAAGGTCTTGTGCAGGATCCACTACGACACCATGGTGGAGAACCTCAAACGAGCAGCTGAGAGCGGTGAGTAGCAGCAGCGGTTCTTGGTGGTGACTCTCAGAAACAGGATTCGTCCAAGGTTGTGCACACGAGAGCAGAATATTCATATTTGAAAGGCATTATTTCTTGTTTTAACCAATACTAATGTTTGGATTATTGATATCTATTAGATTTGGCTCCTTCAGTCAGTATTTCTCAGTGGTTTCATACCCACAGGATTAACAAGTCGTGCTACGGGAGCTCAGGATTCAACCATGTCTTTCAAATTTGGGTCCCAGCTGAGGCAACAAATATCCTCAAGTCCCCTTTACGACGCAGTGTCCAAGTCTTGTGGTTTAACTGTGTTTCCTGACATCTGTAGCCACTCTGAATTATCGCACAGTTCATCTGATTTGCATCTCAAATCTCCGTGTTTTTCAGGCAACGGCATCACATTAGAAGGCGCAGTTCCAACAGAACAAGACAGTCAACCCAAACCGGCCAAAAGGGCGCGGACGTCCTTCACCGCGGAACAGCTACAAGTAATCGTACATCTTATGTTGTGAACGTGTACCTGAACTCCACATACAGTACTCCATGCTTTCTCTAATGGACTAGTTCTGAGCTGCAGCTGATTTTGATATGTTGTGCAGATCATGCAGGCGCAGTTTGCTCAGGACAACAACCCAGATGCCCAGACGCTACAGAAGCTAGCCGACATGACCGGCCTGAGCAGGAGAGTTATACAGGTCAGTAAGATCACACTCTCTGATCTGCTAATCAATAGCTCAACTCTGCAAACATCTAACTCTCGATTCCAAACTGCACGAATGAATGGATAAAAGTACCCGTCAGCAGTAAAATGTGACATATTGCCAAATATATTTTCACAGATTTTGTCTCTCATCTTGAAATAAATCAACAAATTCAATTTCAAGAATATAGCTACATGATGTCTGGTTACATTGCATCTTCATAGGTGTGGTTTCAAAACTGCAGAGCAAGACATAAAAAGCACACGCCCCAGCACAGTGGGGCTTCCCAAGGTCACCCTCAGTCCAGGATCCCCTCGTCGCTGCCCGATGAGCTGCATTACTCCCCCTTTGGCAGTCCCGAGCGAGCGCGCATGGTGGCCCTGCACGGCTACATCGACAGTGAGTGACTGCTTTAAACTTATTCCAGTGACTGTTGGTTATGTTTTTCTAAGACGTTTGTAAGCTGGATTGTTTTTTGCTAATTAATTTTTTTGTGTGTGTTTTTCAGGTCATCCGTTCTCCGTCCTGACCTCTCAGAGCCTCCCTCACCAGGCCATGTCGCTGCCCCAGCTCCCCCTCAGCCGCTAGTCCCTCACCTCGACCCCTCGCGACCTCCCCCCTCCTCCTCCTCCCCCTCCCCTAACCTCCGGACCCTCACCCTTGATCTCCCATCTGCGGCCGACCCGACTCGAAAGGTTCAGGCAGGAGTCAACTCGGAGAAAAAGACTAATCTTACAGGAGCCCTGCCCACTTGGAAACAGAAAAGAGACAAAAAAAACTGAGATACATCTGTCGTTGTGTTCTTTTCTTTCTGGGGACAGGAATATCTCACCTGCAGCCAGTTTCTCAGAAATGATTGTGAAGCGTTTATCATTAGCAGGAACTCACAGACTGTGATTTTACACCACCTGACGGACCCATTTTTGCTTCACGTGTACAGCGTCGCTCTGCTCTTCTTGCCCGCCTTCTCGCTCGAAGGTGACGGGAGTTTTTAAAGGGATCAAACAGACCGAGGAAGCAGGACTGAAGCTTCTCGAGTGCCGTCAGAATACTGAAGATAAAATTAAAAGGGGGACCCGTCATTGCGGCCCGAGGGCCAGGCGCACACACACTAGACCACAGTAGAGGTAAGACTCCTCCCTCTTTTCTCTCTAAGCAACCATGAAGGAAACCTAAATGTAAACAAAATACTTTGATTGTTGAGATTTTTTTTTTTTTTTTCCCGGAATGACATTTTGACTGTATGACATCTCAAAAAAACAGAAACTTCCCACTTTGATTTTATGGTAAAATGATCCAGAATTCGATTTTTGTTGAAGAATAAAAACATTATGTGCCTTATCTTGTATTATTAATAGAAATTAAATGGATTATTATACATTAAACAATGATTTGGGTGTTTTTAAATGGAAATACAGATGGAGAAATTCAACGTATAATTCCAAAATCGCTAAACAGATTTTGCAGTTTATCATGAAGTAAAACCACAAAACTCAACATTGGAGCTCGTGTATTAATAAATAACAGCTCTAACATTAGAATCAGGTGTGAACAGAACGGAGGGAAGTCTGAGATGAGCATACTAGTCAATCTGACATGTTACATATTTTCACATTTCCAAACAGGTGTATTGTCACTAATTTATAATTTATAAGGTTGCCTGTTGGGAAAATGGAGTTTTGGTACAATACGGACAATATAAAACTAGACTGGGTTTGTACATAGTAAGACGTATGTGTGTGTGTGTTTCCGTGTGCGTGCGTATGTGTGTGTATTGGCAGGGGTAGAGAGTGTGCATCTGTATTTTAGTGCCATGGCCATTGTGTGAAGAACAGGATCCAACAAGACCTCAATGTCCTTGTATTTATTGAGATGGTTAAATCCCTGTAAAGCACTTTTTTCCCCCCTCCTCTTCTGAAATTGTTTTGTTTTGTTAAAAAAACATGAAATGAAACAAAAAAGTTTATTTGATAGACTGTGCATCATAAATGTTTTGTGTAATAAAATGCAATAAAATAGAATGTGATATTTTTGTGGGTTTGGGTCATTTCTGAGGATTAACAATAGCGAAGCACAAAGCACAGAAATAAAGGGGCACGGCGGTTAAATTAGGCTTAAATGAAAATACAACCAATAATGCTGCATATTCCATGTGTGTGTTTTCTTGACATGATGTACTGCATGTTTGTGCTTCTGGCTTTGTGTTTTGTTTTCTTATTGTGGGTGTGTATTTGTGCTGAAATCTGTGTGTCGTCCCAGTGTGTGTGTGCATGGTTTGTGAATGTGTGCATCATGAGGAGGACTTCATTTGCCTTTAAAAGACTTCATGCATTATTCATTTTATTTATTAAACGTCATCTCGTAAAGTTAGTCAAAGAGGCTCGATCCATTAAAGGAAACATGATCGTCACTCAGCAGACCAGCGCTCTGTAAACGTTACCTGCACGTTAGGCACAGATATTATGTTTTGTTTTTAATCGCTTATCTTAAACAATGACTTTAACTTGGAAACTTTTCATTAACAATGCCCCGTTTTAATTTAAAACACAGCATATTATTTTATTTACTCACATATGTGTTATGATTGACACTTTTTAGGTTCATACTTTGAATATTATCTATACCTTTGTGCCCTATAATCTTCCTAAACTGCATCAGAACTGCCCTCAAAACATATATTTATGTAGGACAAACCCCAGCCCACTCTGCTTTTACATTTGCATTTATTGCAGCCGTGTCAATTTTGTTACAGGGAATGGAAATTTGTCGTATAATAAGGTTAAAACCAAAATAGCACGGTGGGTTGGACAGCATATATTATTAGACTTTTGACCCAGTTGGAAGCTGATTGCCTATTTAGAACGAATGCTTCTGGGTGGTATGTGATATAATGATTCCACGATCAAAACAAGCAAAGTAAAAACTTCAATCAAACTGCGAGAAAGCCTCGATATATACCGTGTTGCCTGTAAATTGATTGTAAATCCTTTTAGCCTATTTCTCTAAAACACACCGACACACATTATTATGGAAATGAAGGTAAACACACAGGAAGGCAGCCATTGCAACTCCTAGAACACATGTACAGCAAGAGGGAAGACAGATTTAAAGGAAAAAAAATCTTCTTTTGCTTTTTACTCACTGCGTCTTATGGCTAGAAATACAAAGTGCTGTTTATTTGGTGCTGCTCTCTTCAGATTTGGCTACGACAGATTTTTCCGGATCAACGCCAACAACCTCATCCCAGGCCTTCCGACAAGTCCGCACAATCCACTCGTGTTCGGAGTCGTCTGTCAGAAAGATTCAGTTGGAGATTATTGAGAATTTTTGTTGATGGTGCTGCAAACAAAGTCTGGAGTGAAAGTGTTGAGCTTAAATAAAAACACACAAATACAAACCTAAAATGAGCAAAGCAAGAAGCTCTGTTTTTTTGTTGTTTTTTTTTGGTCGAACTCACTTAAAGCGTTTAAATTAAACGTCTAACAACCTGCATAATTAAACCGCAGGTCATTTTTTTTGGGGTGTGAGGCTGCAGCAGTGAAGTGCCATTATTCAGGTCTCGGGTTTAAATTCGTCAAAGCAAGATAAGCCTGACAATTAGCAGAAAATAACTTCTTAGAGCCACTTCAGACACCGATAAATAATAACCTCCCCAAAAATGGACTCCAATCTCTCCTTTTTTTTTTTGGTTGTTGTTTTTTTTTTTCCTTTAAAACCCCAAAAGACTGCCAGAGGAGCTGATAATAAACCAGTTTTTCGTTGTTAAAAACTGAAATGAGTAGCTAATTGCAGGGGAAGTGAGCTTTCTCTGGAGCGCGCGCAGCTGCACGCACTTGAGCGGCTCGCGGGGGCCTCACCCCCAGGTTCCACTGCTTGGTGGGGCTCCATTGTACAGAGGAGCAGGTCTGCGGCTCTCGGACTGATTGTGTGTAATTGCCAGCGATGGGCGTCAACACTAACAGCCACTTCAAGTATATAGCCTAACATCCCCCCCTCTCTCCCCTACTGCCTCACCCTCTCTCTCTCCCTTTCTCTGCCTGTGTCTCCTTTTCTACCTGAGGTCAATTGAACGCACCGGACACGAGGACAGCTGCCATGGCAAACATGTCGCACCCAGTCTTTGTGGCGCATTTGTACGCAGAAAAGGTAATTATTGAAGCCTATATCCTATCATTGTGTTGCCATGAAACACGCTGACCTCAATTAACCACGATCCGCAACCTGCCTTAATGATGATTAGATTGGGACGTTTTCATATTTGCTGTAATTCTGCCCTCTTCAGATTGTGTGGCAGCGTTTATCTGGGGATTTAAGTCACGTGTAATTGGTACCTTGAGTTATCTGGGGGGGCACAGGTGGCCCGTGTGTTGTCTCCTGCAGTCTGAGGGCAGCAGGACATTTCTGGGATTTAGGTTTAACAGTCGGTAAACTAAGGGCTGCTGGATGTTGGGGGGAAAATGGTGATATTTTACTTCTGCAACATATATTGTGACATGAAAAAATACAGAAATTTTCATCTGATGGCTTGAAAAACTCTATGTGGAAAGAATTATTACTTCTAGAATGACTACAGTGATTTTGTAGGGTAGTGCATCTGCATCAAAAGTAATAAATAATTTACAAAAAAGCAAAGTAAGAAGCTGTTCTGAACCTCTTCATGTAGCACAACCCTGTCAAAAGCATCCTTTTTTTTGCTTTGGGTTGTATTCAGATCTGCATCCCTCATACAGAACTCTGTGGTGCTGATTTAAAAGATCAAATAAACTAGTTAGGTTGTCTCGTGTAGTGGCAGCAATTGCAAGACAGACCGAGTACCTATTTTTCATGAAAAACAATCTCTCTTAAGCCAGAACATTTCTGTACAACTGACAGATGCAGGGTTTTTTTTTTTTTTTTCGCAACTAAATCTTCCCCTTCAGTGTTTCTCTCTTGTTCCTCACTCGTTTTACTGCGCACATGTGGAGGCTGCATGTCAACAAACTCATTGTCTCGTAAATAAAGTTTTAAAGAAACACTCCAGTGCATCCAGGAACACTTCATGGAGAGCAAATTGTGTTCTATCAGACAGACTTCTCCTCGAGATTAGTCATAGGAAATGAGAACTGGGCACGTTTTGTTATTGTACAAAGGAGCAAAAAAAGAAAAAGAAAAAAAAAAAGAAAGTTGTAGCAGGATGTGTTTGAGTGAATTTGACTTATTTCACTTCAGGGATGTGACTGTTTATTGCAATGTTGAAGCTGAAACTGTAGACTGCACAGCCCTAGTCAGCATAATAAACTAGGGATTGTGATATTGCAGTAAGTCAGACGAACAATCTAATAACACCTTATATATTTATATATTTATACAACACCTTTGAAAACAAGTGCTTAGATTTGGATAAAGTTAAAACAAGAAGACAAATGATTAAAACTAAGCGCAGCATGTCACTATAAATAAGTAAAAATAAAACCACATATAAGCAAATCTATGGTTTTTTTTTAAGAAGTGAAAGAAGTCACTGATTCTGAGCCGTATCTCCTCAGGCAAGTTGTTCCAGAGCCGAGGGGTCCTAAAGGCAGAAGCATGGTCACCTTTAGATTTAATACTTAACCTTGGAGCAGCCAGAAGGGCCCCACCTCCTGATCTAAGGCTGCAAACCTGCTCACATGTGGTCAACATTTCTGCTGTGTGGCTGAGGGGACAGACCCAGACATTAGTAAAATATTAAGATCCTAACAAACCGGGAGCCAGTGGAGAGAAACAATTAGTGGCCGACTAGCTGAGGGCGAGACAGTGACTTCTGGTTTGTGCCGGAAGAAAAAAAGAAGGAGTTACAGTGGTCAAGCCCGGAGAAAATAATCGTGTGAATGACTTTTTCCAAGTAGGAGTATGAGAGCGTCACAGCGTGTCTGTGAAACGAGGCAGGCAAATTTCAGAACAGCTCTGCATGCACTTTAATCTCCAATAAGGTTCTGAATTCACACACTTTATTTAACGGTTTCCTTGTTGATATCCATCTGGACCAGCAACCTGCATGGACGACCTTTGTGCAACGTACACAGGAGAGAGAGTGTGTGGAAGCGATAATGGCACCTTGTTAAAGTCTGTTTATCTTAATCCTTAAAATACACTCAGAGGGAAAAGTGTTTCCTTCCAGCCTAATGGCAGTGATTTAACACACACACACACAGACACACACGTATACAAAGACATACACACAGGCTTAATTAGCCACAGCAGAAATCTTCTACCACGGTGATCTGCATAAGAGGTGATTAAGTTCTGCTGGATTCGATGGTGAAACAGAGACAGAATTTTGGTTAAATTCGCGGGAACATGAGAGCTGTGACTCAGAGATGTTATTAAGACACCAAACCCTGAAGCTGCTCCGCTGACACTGACCAGAGGCTCGGCTTAGTGGACTTACAGGATCGTAATGTGTGGTTTCTAAGTGGAAGCGCTGCAGTGAAATAAAACTAAATGTGAACACTCGCAGAAACATACATGCATAAGTCATCTGTCTCCAATTCGCTGTCAGCAGATCAGCCCGTGGTTTTGTGTCTTGATGACACATATCACAGAAAACAGTGGTGGTTTTCTGGGTTTCTGGCTTTGAAAGAGCGATATCGATCTTCAGAATTATTAATCCATCTGCCACACTTGACAGGATTTAACATGTGAACCCCGTTTTATGGTGAAAATTTGTCCCAAACACGTTTGAAAAATGAGAGTTTGAGGGAAGGCGGCGTGAGGATATGTTCCACTCCCCAGCGCCCCAGCTGATCGTATCTGTCTGTGAAACACCTCGACTGGACGGGGACAAAGGGAGGGGAGCCGTGGTTTGGTCACCAGAGGTGTTTTGCTTGGCAGTGGAATGTTTTCAGTGCGGAGCTCTTTCTGTGCTGAGTTTCAAATGGAAGCGGTTATCCCAGAAACAGGAAAGTGCTACACATAATACGGCAACACATGGCCCCATCTGAGCTCGCCAAGCAAGAATACAGTATACACAAGTGACTGTGTGTGTGTTTGTTTGTAATAACAGAACATATTCAATCAGGCGCTGGTGGAGGTTTGATTGTGCAGATGTGGCCTATGCATCTTTTTTCCCCCCTTATTCTGCTTTTAATTGCAGTTTCATAGAGCGATGCAAATGCGTTAGATTGTACCTCCAAACTTAAGCAACAATCTTCATCAGCGAATGACAAATTAAAGCACTAATGTATGTCTCTGCAAGTCTGCCGGGGCGCAGATAAAAAACAACCTCTTGAGTCGCTCGTATGTGAAATATTTAGCTTGTTGATTATGTGATTTGTATTTCAGATTTAACGGTAATCATTTCCTCGTGCTGTAGTCTGTTGGCTTTAATTAAGCGGGGCTGGTTGGGACACAGTGAGGTGGAACCACATGTTTGTTGTAATGCTTTCATCATAAAAAAAATGGAAATTAAATCTAAAAAAAAATAAATAAATCAAACCACATCTCCGGTCTGAAATACCGAACTTCATTAGCTTTTTAACAAGCAGTACGTGAAATATAGTTTTGCTATTGGCGTTAGTGCGAGAGAAAAAAAACAAACACTTTCATCAAACTATCTGTCCTGGAAGCCATCCCAACTTCATCTGAATTTACACCTGATGTCTACCAAGGATGAAGACAAATGTGTTTTTGCTTCTGCTATATTTACACAATGCAATGGTATTTAACGAGAAACATGACAAATAACCATCCAAATATCATGATCAGCTGCTCAGATGTTTTTTAAAATTAGAATTAGAAGACAAAGATGGATCAGTCCGCCACCTACGATACTATCTGGAGTGTGCAGCTCACTCACATGTTCTCTTTCTTATTTTTAGATTATCCGGCTAGAGATGGGAACTCTGCAGAGTAATACCTAATGATATACTGCTGTGGTAGTAACCTGGAATGTTGCTAGTGACACACAGAATCCCTTCTTAACATTTTTAGGAGGTGACTTTCTATCCCAGTCTGCTTGCTTTCCAAACTCCCTTGTTCTAATTTGTCCTGTAGTATCTTCACACCAAAAAGTCCTTTTTTCTTGGGTCCAGCAGAAGGAAGCTGCACCAAACACTGAAATGTTGGTTTGGATGATGACCAATGAGCAGCTACTTAAATGTGGCATTGCAGATCTCCACTAACACATGATTCGTAAGTAACCGCAGTTTTTCACTTTAAAGTTAATCAGAAACCGAATTTAATGGACAATTTAGGGAGAAGATTGTTTTTCAAGACAATTTGCTCCTAAACAACTATACAGAAAGGAACAACTGATGCCAGCCCACTGGGT